CATTTTACATTAACAAGGACAGCTCAACATCTCCATCTGGTGACTTACTAACACCATCGCCTTATTTTCTCAAATGTTAGGAAACTTAAAAATGTGAAAAACAGAAAGAAAATAAGGAACAAAAGATATGAATGATCTACCCCAGGAATAATCAAGATTGGGTTATGTCATTTTTTTTTTACTTTTCTAGTTCCAACAGAGAAATCATCTATGTTCAAGTTTCAAAATTTAATCCTTCTCCAACAAAATAAAAACACAAGAATTAGAACGACTATTTCATCACATGGAGTCTCTTAAAATGGAGCCAAAGTTTAGCTTTCCTGAGGTTGGCTAACAAAAAAGTCTACTTTCCACTAAAAATTTAATATGGGTTATTAAAATTTCACCTAATATTTACTCTTAAATTGTTATTCTAGTTATAAAAGTAATAAGTATTCATTGTAAATCAATTTTAGAAGATAAATTTTATGAAAAAAATGAAATTCCCACTCATAATTTCATTATCAAGAGATAATATGCAATTTTAAATTTGCTGTATTACCCTTTCTTCTTTTTTTCTATGCATGCATTTCCCCCCAAATAATGTAAACAAATATTTTGACTTTTACTCTGCAAATTTTGTTTTTGTTAATATATTTTTTATTGATTTTTTTACAGAGAAGAAGGGAGAGGGATAGAGAGTTAGAAACATCGATGAAAGAGAAACATGGATCAGCTGCCTCCTGCACACCCCCTACTGGGGATATGCCTACAACCAAGGTACATGCCCTTGACTGGAATAGAACCTGGGACCCTTCAGTCTGCAGGCCGATACTCCATCCACTGAGCCAAACCGGTTAGGGAAAATTTTGTTTTTAATTATATATTTTACCTCTTTTATCTAAGCTCTGGCAAGCAAAGCCTCAGCCAGGTGGCTCAGTTGGGTGAGTATTGTCCCCGTACATCATTAAGGTTGGGCACATACTTAGGTTTCAGGTTTAACAATGTTTCTCTCCCCACTCCCTTCTTTTCTATCTAAAATCAATAAACATATCCTCAGGTGAGGATAAAAAAAAAAAAGAAGATGTGGAAAATGAGGGCTTCAGTGTTTTATTGACTTTGATCACTCTCAGACTGCCTCATTCAAGTCTCAGTGCTAATTCTTAGAAGACCACATCGTTACTAATCCTCCATATAGATCATCGCCTATTTACTCTACCTGGATTTCTGATAAAAAGTTTTTTTCATCTTCTTTAGTAACCAGAGGTGTAGAATCTTGCTAAGGTCCTTTGAAAGCCTAAACATTCCATCCCTTATTTCCTTATTCACTGTCTTAAAGGACTCCAGGTGATATAGTCAGTCTCTTAGAAAACTTCTCAGTAGATGAACTACTGGTGATGGACCTTGAGATATGAGAAGTTTAACAGATAAAAAGGAAAGGACAGGTCAAACAATAATAACAGCATTTGAAAGGATATAGAGGCATAAAAGTACATAGTGTGTTTGGGAAAATGCAATGTGGCCGGCCCAGTGTGTGGCCATGGGTGAGACTGGCAGGGGAGGAAAAGTATAAGATCAGAAAGATAACTTGGAACCAATTGTGAACCACTTATAGAGTATTTATTATGTGGCAGGTAATGTACTGATGCTTTACAAACATTTCTTTGAATCCTTTCAACAATGAAAACTTTATAAGGTTCACTGTATTCTAATCACCAGGTTTGATTTTTCTAATTGCTTTCAGTATGGCAGCTTACCTTCAACTTGAGTAATTAATCTAGAAATTTAGTCTTCCACATGCACCCAATCTTTATTCTGTGAAGCTATGGTGTTTTTGGTCAGCCCAGCATCCCGTCTCCCTTCTTTTGGTAGAAGTCTCCATCCCCCTGGCCACAGAACCAGACTAAGCCAATCAGAGTAACTCATGTGCACCAGGGAGGATGCTTCCTGCTTCTTGGGGGATGTGAGCCAGGAGCTGCTATAACCCCCCTATGGGGAGAAAAGCTGACGCAGGCACGAAGAGGCAAGGATAGGCCATATTGAGTGACAGTCCTGGCAGGGTAGCTGTCTCCTTCACCCGTCCTTGTTTTTTTTTTCTCTCTTAAGCAGGCTACCTTAGATTTGTTCCTTGCAAATCCAAGTGAATCTTAGTGGCTGAGTGTGAATTTTGGAATGATTTAGGTTAAAGGCTGGAGCTGCCACTTAATAATTAGACCTCGGGCAAGGCACTTAAACTAGCTAGGCCTCCATGGTAAAATGGGGATGTGATGAGATGAAATGAGATTATGAACATGAAGCATTTAGCACATAGAATGTGCTCAGTAAGATGTAGCTATAAGCAATGCACATGGGAAGGAGAAATTTGTTGGACAAAAGCCCTGTCATCTCCCAACAATTGAGGCTCTGTACTCCCGTTTCCAGGAAGTCTGATATTCACTTTAAAATGTATCAACAGCCCTAACCGGTTTGGCTCAGTGGATAAAGCGGACTCAAGGGTCCCAGGTTCGATTCCAGTCAAGGGCATGTACCTTGGTTGCAGGCACATACCCAGTAGGGAGTGTGCAAGAGGCAGCTGATCAATGTTTCTCTTTCATCGATGTTTCTAACTCTCTATCCCTCTCCCTTCCTCTCTGTAAAAAATCAATAAAATATATATTTTTTAAAAGTATCGACAAATAAATAAAAAGACTAGATAGAGCAAACAAATGTGGCAAAATCTTAGTCACTGTTGAACAGATGGGAAGTCATTGTGCTAGATTACTTTTAAGTTTTGCCCGGCCAGTGTCACTCAGTGGTTGAGTGTGGACCTGTGTACCAGGAGGTCACGGTTCAATTCAATTCTCGGTCAGGGCACATATCCTGGGTTGCAGGATCGATCTTCAGTGTGGGGTGTGCAAGAGGCAACCGATCAATGATTCTCTCTCATCATTGATGTTTCTCTCTCTCTCTCCTTCTTCTTTCCTTTCTGAAATCGATAAAAATACATTTTAAAAAAGTTTTATAATAATTTTTTTTTTAAAGAAAGGTCCGTTGAGATAATCATGAAATTTCTCTTTTCCTGGTCATGTGAATTGCACTGACTTTCCAAGTGCTGGGCCAACCTTGCATTCCTGGAGTGGACTCACCTTAATCATAAAGAATTGCTCCTTTGGGGAATAACTGAATTTGGCTTGCTAGTGCTTCATTTGAGATTCATAAGGTAGATGGCCTATGGTATTCCTTTCTTGTGGTAACTGAGCCAGGTTTTTGTGTGGGGTTGTATTGACCTCAAGGAATAAGTGTGTTTTCCTTCTCTTTTTTATACTCTAGAGAAATTTTTGTGGGGTTGATGCTGTTTCTCTCTTAAATGTTTTGATCTGAATTTTGATTAGACTTTCCTTTTAGATCCTTGATTTGTCAGTTATTTATTTGCATACTTTGTGTATGTGTAGAAATAATCTTAATAAAAACACTTTTGAAAAATTAAGTAGGCAAAAAAAAAAATTTTAATAAAAAAATGTCTCACTTAGCTAAGGGCAATGTAATCATTTTATCCTGACTGCACTAAAAACCTCACCTCTGCCCTGGATAACAATCCTTCACACAAGTTTTCACGTCTTCCATCATCATCACTGACATTTACCAAGCACTGTGCATGGTATATTACACATGCCATTTCCTTTAGACACCAGTGTTGCCTCCCATGTTTTAAAAGAGAAAACTGAATCATAGCAAACAATGTCCAGGGTCCAGGACTCAAACCCTGGAAGTCTGACTGCAGAGAGTAGGTGTTTTACCTGCTTGTGACATTATGTCATGGGGGCTCAACATGGCCTGGAGGGGATGGAAAAAAAGAGACAGACAACCTGGGCACCAATCCACCTTTGTCTTTAACTGGCTGTCAGACCTTGGGCAAGTCACATGATCTCCATGACCCTAGTAGCCTCATGATAAGATGCTGGGCCTGGTCCAGACAATTTTGAAACTCTGCCTGTGAGGCCTGGGAGTTTGGAGGCACCACCTTGGGGTCAAGCAACACGAGCAGCTTCCCTTCTTCTGTATTACATACTGGCCTTCAACAAAATGTCATTTGAACTAAAATGATTCTGAGGTTTTAAGAATTTTGAAACCATTTGATTACTCATCAACTTCCAAAGCTCCTCTATCCTTAGGGATTCTACATAATCATTAGATGAATAATTCTATGAATACTCTATGACCAATCCCATTATCTATTAAACTTTTAATTAGATGTGGATATATTTACCAAACCACAGACATCTCCACCACACCCAAAGGATCATTTCTCTATCTTTCTAGAATAAATTTTTCATTTTTAAAATGATCTCCAGCACGGCTGGTATGGCGCAGTGGTTGAGCATTGACCCACACACCAAGAAGTCACGGGTTCAATTCCCAGTCAGGGCACATGCCCAGGTTGCAGGCTCAGTACCCAACAGGGGGCATGCAGGAGGCAGCCAATCAATGTTGATGTTTCTCTCTCATCAATATTTCTATTTCTCCCTCTCCCTTCCTCTCTCTAAAATCAGTGATGGCGAACCTTTTGAGCTCGGCGTGTCAGCATTTTGAAAAACCCTAACTTAACTCTGGTGCCGTGTCACATATAGAAATTTTTGATATTTGCAACCATAGTAAAACAAAGACTTATATTTTTGATATTTATTTTATATATATAAATGCCATTTAACAAAGAAAAATCAACCAAAAAAATGAGTTCACGTGTCACCTCTGACACGCGTGTCATAGGTTCGCCATCACTGCTCTAAAATCAATTAAAAAATATTAAAATGATCTCCAGATAGCCCCTAAATTTTTACCATACGATAAATCCCATTTAGAACTTATTTCCCCCCTATAAAATGACATTCTCCAGTATGTTATAATACTACTGTGGCCTTACATTACTTTCCACTTATTTTCACATACCCTGATACGCTGTCTAAGCATTCAAGTGACTACCGAATCTCGATACAATACACTCACTCCTTAAAGATTTAAAAATCAAAGCATCGGACAAAATATAAATTGTTATGAGACTTTAGTTTTTGAAATACATAACTTACAGCACAAACAAAATATTTACATCACAAGTTCTTTTTTACAAAATATGTGTGTCATTTTGAAAGAATACTGTTGAGATCCTGATCTAAAATATCTGCCAGAGTTCAAAAAGACACATGGAATCTGGTCTCCAGAAATCCACTGCATAATGATATAAATAAAATATGGCTGAATGTCAGGGCTTACCCATACATAAAAATTCCAATTCCCTATCCCAATGGTCAGCAAACAATGGTCTTGGGGCCAAATCCAGCCAGTGGTCTGGTTTTGTACAGCTGTAAGCTAAACATGGTTTTGACATTTTTACAGTTTAAAAAAATGTTTTAAACTAAACAACAAAGAAGAAAATGCAACAGAAACAGATATGGCCTGAAATATTTACTATGTGGCTTTTTACAGAAAAGGTTTGCTCATCCCTGCATTATATAAAATCAACTGGAATATACTGATGGCTATTAAAAAAGACAACACTGTAAGGCCAGTACCATCAGCAGTACTCATTTCTAAAATGAGTCACTTCTGTTCAAATATGTACATTTCCAAAACATAATTACATCTGAAAAGTAGCTCTGCTACTTAAGTCTAGCCCTTTACAATTAGACCTCCGCATGAAATCACAGTATTCTTAGGGGACAGAGGAAACAAGGACAAAGTATTCCAGAGGTCAGTCATTGAGCTTGTCAGTAGTTGTAAGTCATTTAAGACCACTTAATAGTCTTAAACATTAATAAAATTAATAATTTAGATATTGCCAGTAGGAGGTGATATTGCTGCATTATTTAAATAACACTGATTAAAAACATGTTTAGATATCCCAATTCATTATTTTCAGAAGCAAGAATTACTAGCTAACTTAGTAGCTAACTTGATTTTAAAAATGATAAATGAAAAAAGAAACACAGACCAAAACTGTAGAACCACAGCAAAGGCTTTGGAATGCAAACACTGGGGTCTCTCCCAATCTCCCAGCAATCCCAAGCTGGCCTAGGCTTCTCATGTTGTAGTTGACAGTGGTTGCCGTGGGAACTTGGCAGCTGTCTCTTGTCAGTGAGCCTTTTCATTAAATGAATGACAGGTCCATGAGCAAATGCTTTAAAAGTAAAACCAGTTCAGAACTGCTCAACACACAGATGTTCACCATCCCTGGTCAGCAGGCTATACTCACATCACAAAACAAGTATTGTCCTGGATGTTTTTCCTTCTTCAGGCCTGGCTGGCTTAGCTTCACATCATGAAGACATCTCTGTTTTGCCAAGCTTTAAAATGCTCAGTGAATGCCGAGGTAGATGACTTTCGAATGAAGATCTTCTATACCCTGATCCGACTAGGACTTGCTTCTTTCTGTATTCTCCTTCTGGGAAATATCTTCCGCTTAAGGGCAATTAACTGAATGATGAAAGACAGAAAATAAACTTTAATTTCCAAATTGACAAACTTTAAATTTTCTGAGAGTCATATGACCTTAACTATGTCCATAGTCTTATACATAAAAAACAGACAACAAATTAGTCTCATTATTCCTCCCTCAAAACAAAACCAACCCCTACTTTTGTTTCACTTTGTAGGGTTAATATACCTAGATATGTGCCCACAAGATATTTAAATCCATAAGGATTAAAATTATTTTGGTCTAAGCTTCACTTTTTAAAGACCTATAGCTACAGATTTTTACACAGCTATTACCAAGCATACTTATTTTCAAGATGTCTGGCAAGTCTTTCCGTTGAAGGAAAATGGCTCTGTTTAGCCATTAAGACACTGTCTCCAGGCTTGAAAATGACTACAATGCAAGACAGAATTCTTAAAACATTTTTTAAAAACCTGGCTGGTGTGGCTCAGTTGGTTGGGCATCGTCTTGTGCACCGAAAGATTACTGGTTCAATTCCTTGTCAGGGCCATGCCCAGGCTTGTGGGGCTCAATCCCTGGTGCAAGGGTGAAGGAAGCGTGTGGGAGGCAGCCGATAGATGTTTTGCATTCACATTGAGTTTTCTCTCTCTCTCCCTCTCAAGTCCTTTCTCTCTAAAAATCAATAATTTAAAAAAATATATATTTTATTGATTTTTTACAGAGAGGAAGGGAGAGAGATAGAGAGTTAGAAACATCGATGAGAGAGAAACATCAATCAGCTGCCTCCTGCACATGTCCTAGTGGGGATGTGCCCGCAACCAAGGTACATGCCCTTGACCGGAATCGAACCTGGGACCTTTCAGTTCGCAGGCTGACGCTTTATCCACTGAGCCAAACCGGTGCTGGCAAAAATCAATAAATCTTAAAAAAAAAAGAACACCCTACATTATAAAATCCTATCACCATTTCTCCCTATACTTAAACAGAGCAACAATCATTTGAAAATACAGGTAATACCTAATTTATGAATGGGTTACAAGGCAAAAAGTTCATTTGTAATTTACTAGCTTAGAATTGGGATATTTCTTTCTCATCGAAACAGTTTATTCATGTTACATCCGAAATAGAAACTTGACCACTTGATGAGAAAAATTAATGTGTTTTTATGGTTTCAATTTGGAATTCTACCGTCTACTCCCCCATGTCGAGGTGGAAGCAGAGCTTTACAGAAGCACAGACGTCCATGGTTTGAATGATGAGCTGGGATTCTGGGGCAGAGGAAGAGGCAAGGTTGGCTGGTTTGTTTGTGAGCACCGTACAGGTTAAGGAATTTGATTCAAGTAGGTAAAGAAGAGAAGAGACTCATTCCTCTCATCCCTTTTCCCTCCTCCTCTCTAGTTCCCTTTTCTCTGCTGGTATAAATGACATGGATGAAAGACCTGAGCCCTTTCACCCACGGTCCCTCTCCAACCTGACCGCTGGCCAGCACAGCACGCTCACAGTTTCCTCACTGGACTCCTGTTCTAGAAGCAGGTGCAGTCTTTTAAGATTTTTTAAAAAAGATGTTACCTGTCAGGAAGAATGGCAACAAAAATGAAGAACAAGATTTATACTCCCTGCTCTCCTGTCCAATTCTCCATTTCCTGAATTTCCTTCCCTCTGTGGCAGGAAGCCCAGGCGCTGTTTATCCTAAAGCTCTCAGGACTGCGACCTCCTCCTCCGTCTCAGTGTAAGTAAATTCAGTGTAAGTTTCCTATAAGTGACGGCTAAAAAGAACTTCACTCAACAGTCACCTGGAAAGGAGGCTGAGACCAGGTTCACTTGCCCTGCACAAGTCAGGTCAGTCCAGACACCATTCCCTTCCTTCTCCAGCCCCTTTTCTTCAGAGCATTTCACACCTGTGGCCTAAATAAGGATTCCCTTGTCCCTTTCTTTTTACATCAGAAATCTCCCTTCTACTCCTGGACCCTCACCTGAAGGAGGTTCTGTGCCTACATGGAGAACTCTTAGCAATTCAAAGGAAATTTAATTGGGAAAAATGAAGATAAGATACTTCAGTCACTTTTAGAAAGGTTATAAATTGGAGATCCATTTTCAAAAACAATACCAGATGAAAATTCTACTTGGGTTTTGGTTAAAAATACTTAGAGCATTTCAGTTTTAGCTTAAAGTCGGCAAGTTAATCCACTGAGGTCCAGATAAAAAGAATACTGGCAATGGATCTAAAAGATCTACACTAATAAAAGACAAACATGCAAATTGACCATACCTTCGCTATGCCTTAAGCCATGCCCACCAGCCAATCAGAGTGACTATATGCAAATTAACCCAACCAAGATGGCGGCCAGCAGCCACAGAGCTGGAGCAAGCAGGAGGCTTGCTTGCCCCAATGATGGAGGAAGCCAAGCTGCTGCGGCGGCTCTGAGCTTCACTCAAAGCAACAAAGTTTCAATTATAGAAGGGAAATAAACCCCAGATACCTGCTTTCAGCCGACTGTGGCCACGGAGCTGGAGCGAGCAGGAGGCTTCCCTCCCGCCCACCCTGGCCAGCTCTGAGCTCCACTCAAAGCAACAAAGTTTCAATTACAGAAGGTGAATAAATCCCAGAATAAAAAAAGAAAAAGAAAAAGAGAGGCTGGGAGCTTCTCTTGCTAGAGGGGCTTGGCCAGCCTGAAAACGGCCCTCAGCCCCTCACCCAGGCTGGCCAAACCTCCATGGGGTCAGGGTCCCCACTGAGGTGCCTGGCCAGTCTGGGTGAGGGTCTGAGGGCCATTTTCAGGCTGGCCAAGCCCCTCCAGCGACGGAAGCTCCCAGCCTCTCCTTTTTTTCTTTTTATTGACCAGCCTGCGAACAGCCATCAGCCCCTAACCCAGGCTGGCCAGACACCCCAGCGGGACCCCCACCCTGATCCGGGACACCCTTCAGGGCAAACCAGCCGTCCCCCACCCGTGCACCAGGCCTCTATCCCATATAATAAAAGGGTAATATGCAAATTGACCCTAACAGCAGAAAGACTGGGAATGACTGGTCACTATGACACACACTGACCACCAGGGGGCAGATGCTCAATGCAGGAGCTGTTCCCTGGTGGTCTGTGCGCTCCCACAGGGGGAGCTCTGCTCAGCCACAAGCCAGGCTGATGGCTGCCAGCACAGCGGTGGTGGCAGGAGCCTCTCTTGCCTCCTCAGCAGCACTAAGGATGTCCGACTGCAGCTTAGGTCTGCTCCCTGCTGGTAAGTAGACATTCCCCAAGGGCTGCCAGGCTGCCAGAGGGATGTCTGACTGCCAGCTTGGGACCGATCCCCCAGGGAGCGGGCCTACGCCAGCAGGTGGACATCCTCCGAGGGGTCCCAGACTGCAAGAGGGCATAGGCCGGGCTGAGGGACCCCCCGCGAGTGCACAAATTTTTGTGCACCAGGCCTCTAGTAAATGAATAAAAGGCCATTATGTTTGATGCCTGCATATTAGGAAATATACTTGACATATTAGCTATAAACCAATAGAATAAATTAAATTTTCTTGTGACTTTATATCATTTTCTAAAAGAATCAGACACTAATATACCAAGAAATACTGTTTGATCCCCACATAAGATATAAAACTTACCTGTTCGGCAAAAAACGAGAATATAGTAAACATAATCAATGTTGCTAGTACACAATGAGTCCAAAACTTCAATTTGTCTCGGTATGCTCTCCTGTTCAGAGAGAGAAGAAAGCAATCATGTGTTTTGTGCATGGCTTCACTATATTACTTAGAGTTATTTATATACCAGTTTAGCAAAAACAACCATGGGAAACCAAAAAACACTGTCTGGAGGCAGTTCTAAAATGTTATTAACACAATACACTTTTCCAACATGAGTTCTGATTTTCATTATATTTGAATTAGTAAAAGTTATCCAGGCAGAGATGAGGACTTCTGAAGAAAATTACTTCTAGCCCTAACCAACCGGATGGATAAAGTGTCGACCTGCAGACAAAAGGGTGCCAGGTTTGATTCCGGTCAAGGGCACGTACCTCAGTTGCAGGATCCTCCCTGGCCCTGGTCAGGGCACATGCAGAAGGCAACCAATCGATGTGTTTCTCTCACATCAATGTTTCTCTCTGTCTTTCCTCTCTTTTCCACTATCTCTAAAAATTAATGGAAAAATATCCTCGAGTGAGGATTTTAAAAAGAAAAAAAAAGAGCAGTCTGTGAACTTGGAAGGAAGAAAAAAATAAAAAGAAAGAAAATTACTTTTAGCACTTAAACAAAAACACACACTTTCATTCATTTTTATTTATTCATTCATATTCATTTATTCAGTCGCTCAATAAATACTTCCTGTGGCTACAGAGAGATGGACAAGATGAATTTCCTGCTCTAAAGTGTTGATAAGCCCGGGAAGTCACCAACATGCAGACAAATAGCCATCACACAAGATGGAGAGAAATGTGTATTATCAAAGGAAAATCTTGTAGAAAAACTTAGAGAAATGAGGAAAGCATCTCAGAGATGGGGACATTTCATTAAAGCCTTGAATGCAGGAGGGTAACTGAGTCCCACAGAACTGAAAGCAGCCAGGGGACGCAGGTGGGCACGGACTTCAGCTGTTCTGAAAAATCATGTAATGGAGTTTGGATGTAATACTCCAGTGGAAAGGGGGATAAAAGGGTGTGTGTGTGTGTGTGTGTGTGTGTGTGTGTGCAAACTGTGATCATTTGAAGGATGATGTCATGAGCAGATGACCAAAGGCATGAAAAAGGATTGAGGGGCAGTGAGAGTGGAAAGAAACTAGCAACAGAAGAGACATTCTGAGAGTATAATCAATTGGACTCAGAGGCAGGATACTGGGGATAAAGACAGGCAGTATAGCATAGTTACCTCATCTGTAATTTGGAAATAAATGAATAATTTATTATGAAGCTTAATAAATGCTTAATATAAAGCTTGGAAGATATGCTAATAACTACCACATTCGGGCACTATGCTGAGTTCCAGACTCTCGTTTACTACTGTCTGGTAGTAGATGACTCTACTTCAAGTCACATGTTCATAATGGTGTTCTCTCCCACTCATTTCCTGCTGTACTTCTTATGTCTATTGATCACAACAAGCTCAGTCAGTTCTAATGTCTACAGTGTCATTCAGAAGCTGTGTAATTTAAAGCACTAAGAAGCCACAGGCTGTAACACAGCTGATGAGTTGCCCCAGCAACCAGAGAACCCTATAATAGCTGGAGGTGAACCACGCTTCCCTCAGCCAACCATCTACTGAGCACCTACTATGTGCTAGGGAGGCACTGGGGCTCAGACACAAATAAGACACCGTCTCTGCCCCTGAAGAGGGCCCATGGTCTACCAGCAGAGACAAGCACACCAGACAGACTGCTGTATGGTGCACAAAGTGCTTGACCGACAAAGGGGGACAGGAAGAAAGCCAATCAAGAAACCAGGGAAAGGAGACAGGGGACTCAAGAGCACAGTGTCATGAAGCGAAAGGTAAATGCAGAAGCAGGATGAGGAAGAAGAAGCCCAGATTGGGGAGCTGCAAAGAACACCCTCCACCTGATACATCTCATTTGTACAACACAGAAATCCAAGCTCTCTCAAACTACTCTTAAGCCCACTTCTTTCTTATTTAATTGAGCCCTGAAGGTAAATTTAGTCATAAACTGGATTTGGGGAATTGATACTTGAACCCATCCAAGGTCTTTCTCCTGTCATCTAAAGGAAAGTGAAAATGGTGAGAAGCCATTCCAGCCATTTTTGGAAGACAAGACCCATTATTTAGTAATAGCTTTTCCATATCAAAATAAAAATAATATAAATATTAGCAATACACATGCTATCTGTCTCACTCAAGAGTTCTGATAATTTCCTCTCTAAAATCTCCCCCAATTCTGTCTACTGCTTTCTCTTTATTCCCTCGGCTGTGTTCACACCTTGACTGTCTATTTCAGGACAACTGAAATGCTATTACTTGTCTCCCTGCCAGGGGTTTCCAGATAACATTACCTCACTCCAAACAACTTCCTCACCAGTACCACCATTTCACTACTATTAGTTATCTTTCCAAATCATGAAGTCTGATCAGGACAAACATCTAAAAAAACCTCTCTTGGGGAGTCCCAGTCCCTAAAGAAAAAAAGTCTAATTCAGACACAACCCTTCACAATCTCTCCAAAGCACTCTTTTGGACATTTGTGCCTTTGTATTCTTAGTACCTGGTGTGGGGGTGGGGCAGGTAAGGGGCCTCTGTAACGTGGCAATAACGGTTCCTTTAGTTGTAAAGAGCAGAGGAAATATATTGCCAGCACAGTGTCTGCCATATGGTAGGTGCTCAAGAAATAGGGCAAAAAAAAAGAAGAAACAGGGCAGCTACTCTGATGGCAGCTGACAATGACTAAGGCTCAGCAGATGTGCTCCTCCAGTGAGCTCAGTAAAAGATATATTTCAACGATTAAGCTCAATAAAAACTACAGTGTATCTTACAAAGAAACAATAGAGCAAACACCACATTAAAGAAATTTCAACCCAGCCAGCATGGCTCAGTGGTTGAGCGTCAACCTATGAACCAGGAGGTCATGGTTCAATCCCCGATCAGGGCACATGCCCAGGTTGCAGGCTCAATCCCCTGTGTGGGGTGTGCAGGAGGCAGCCAATCAATGATTCCCTCTCACCATTGATGTTTCTCTCTCTCTCCCCGTCTCTCTTCCTCTCTGAAATTAATAAAAGTATCCTAAATAATGAGAGGAATATGCTAATTAGCCATTACACCCTGAGGTGTAATGACCAAGCGCGTCATGACCAGATCACGGATCAGCAGGAAGGTGGGCCAGAGAGGTACAGTGGGGCCTTGACTTACGAGTTTAATTCGTTCCGTGACCGAACTCGTAACTCAAATTACTCATATGTCAAATCATTAAAGTGAACGAGTGAGACACGTGATGCTGGGCTGATGTTGTGGCATTCACTGTGACGTTCGCTGCGCCAACTAACGGTGGGGTATCTGAAGCTGGCTGGTAACCGGAATTTTAGCTCGCAACTCAAAGCAAAAAATCGGCCGAGAGACAGCTCGTATCTCGAAAAACTCATTAGTCGGGGCAGTCGTTAAGTCAAGGCCCCACTGTACAAGCAGGCTGCGGAGAGCTACAGGAGGGGGCAAGGCAGCAAGCTATGGGGGGGCGGGGCAGTGGGCAGAGAGCTACAGGAGGGCAGCAGCGACCTACTGGCCCACAGATTTGTGTGCAGGGCTACTAGTATGTTAATAAAAAGACATTTCATCACTCTGAAACAAAAAATACACACATACATGTATGAACCATGAGCACTTACCATTCCTGCAGTTCATGCATATGAAGAAAACGGTTCCGATACTCTCTTGGCAGTTCAAACTGGGATGGTACAGGGAACATAGATTCATAGAAGTCCCTGAGCACAGCTTTCACTGTCTGGGCATCTTTATGATTATGGTCAATGTTGTCATTCAGGCAAACAAACTTCCTGAAAATAATAGCGACCCAGGGTTACTGATTATCATAAGGATGATTCTGACCTCACAAAACAAGAAAATGTGGATTCCAAATATATTTTAAATAGATTTATGCCCCAAGACTGATGTTTTATTTACTGATAAGGTTATCTGAGGCAATAATGTTTAATACATTTTTTCTTTGGATATTCCTCACCTGTATAACAGAACTAGGAAAGATAATCTTGAAAAGTGCCTTCTAACTATGGAATAAAATTAATGATTTCCACTTAGCATGTCCCCAATTAAGTGTTCAATAAATACAGTTTACTAACTCGATCATTTTGTTAACAGACAACAGCATGGTGATGACCAGAGGGAAAGGAGGTAGGGGCAGATAGAAGAGGATAAAGGGGGCATAAATGGTGATGAAAGAAGACTAGACTTTGGGTGATAAACACAAAATATACTACACAGATGATGTATTATAGAATTGTACACTTGAAACCTATATAATTTTATTAACCAATGTTATCCCAATAAATCCAATAAAATATATTTTAAAAGTTTATTAATTAAAAAAAAGCAGTACCTAGGGTTTTTTCTTATATCATCCAATTGGCCAACCACATGAGAAACATTGGTACGAATCATTTTAAAAGCAATTTCTTCTTCTCCCATGATTTCAAACCTAATTATCAAACATAAAGAGTATAAATATTTATGTGGATATGACAGATTTTCAATAAGGAAAACATTTTATAAAACTTTAACAGATTCAGCATCCTCAGAATGAGTTAATCTTTCACTGTTACTAAAGAAAACAATCTCACATAAATGTTAAAAAAGAATGCTTAATAAGCCATTGTAAAATGATGAAAATACTAGACTCTTAATTATTTTTAAACTAAACAAAGAGAATATTATATGTCTACTTACCTATATTTGTTTTTGTCCTTATACGTTTTGTGGATTTTATCAGTTACTGGTTTACAGCTGGTTAACAGACTCTTAGTGACGGGTGGCTGTGAGAAAGACAGACATTAATTACAATAGGGGCCAAGACTAGGGTGAGGCAAGTGACGCATTCAGCTTGGGTGCAAAATTTAAGAGGGCACCAAAAGACTCAGCAATCAGGATGAATATTTTCAACAATCAAATTGGCACACTATGGCCAGCAGGCAAATTGCCTAATGTATAAATAAAATTTTATGTGGCACATATCTGTATACTAACCCATGTCATATGCTAACCCAGCCGTGGGCAAACTACGGCCCGTTTGAAATGAATAAAACTAAAAAAAAAAAGACCGTACCCTTTCATGTAATGATGTTTACTTTGAATTTATATTAGTTCACACAAACACTCCATCCATGCTTTTGTTCCGGCCCTCCGGTCCAGTTTAAGAACCCATTGTGGCCCTCGAGTCAAAAAGTTTGCCCACCCCTGTGCTAACCAGAGGTGGGGAACCTTTTTTTCTGTCAAGGGACATTTGGATATTTATAACAAACATCATTCTCGGGCCACACAAAATTATCAACTTAAAAATTAGCCTGCTTGCCCTAACCAGTTTGGCTCAGTGGATAGAGCGTTGGCCTGCGGACTGAAGGGTCCCAGGTTCGATTCCAGTCAAGAGCATGTACCTTGGTTGCGCGCACATCCCCAGTAGGGGGTGGTGTGCAGGAGGCAGCTCATCGGTGTTTCTCTCACATCGATGTTTCTAACTCTCTATCCCTCTCCCTTCCTCTCTGTAAAAAATCAATAAAATATATATTTAAAAAATTAGCCTGCTATATTTGACCAAACATTTAATTAACTCACTCATAATGCCTTGGCAGGGGTAGACCAAATGCTTTAACGGGCCTTATATGGCAACTCGGGCCAGACCGTCTGTTCCTCACCCCTGCTAACCAAAGCATGATTGGCAATACCTATAGTTTGTCTCTGGATTCCCATAGTTCCTTGCTGACCTGTCTCACCACAGCTACTGCTCATGCCTGAACAGGAGTGAGGAGCACAGTGTCCGGCGTGCACAAGGAGGAGCACAGTGTCTGGTGTGCACAAGGAGTGAGGAGCACAGTGTCTGGTGTGCACAAGGAGTGAGGAGCACAGTGTTGTGAGGAGCACAGTGTCTGGTGTGCACAAGGAGTGAGGAGCACAGTGTTGTGAGGAGCACAGTGTCTGGCATGCACAAGGAGTGAGGAGCACAGTGTTGTGAGGAGCACAGTGTCTGGTGTGCACAAGGAGGAGCACAGTGTCTGGCGTGCACAAGGAGGAGCACAGTGTCTGGCGTGCACAAGGAGTGAGGAGCACAGTGATTGGCATGCACAAGTAGTGAGGAGCACAGTGTCTGGTGTGCACAAGGAGTGAGGAACACAGTGTCTGGCGTGCACAAGGAGTGAGGAGCACAGTGTCTGGTGTGCACATGGAGTGAGGAGCACAGTGTCTGGCGTGCACAAGGAGTGAGGAGCACAGTGTCTGGTGTGTACAAGGAGGAGCACAGTGTCTGGTGTGCACAAGGAGGAGCACAGTGTCTGGCGTGCACAAGGAGGAGAACAGTATCTGGCGTGCACAAGGAGTGAGGAGCACAGTGTCTGGTGTGCACAAGGAGGAGCACAGTGTCTGGCGTGCACAAGAAGTGAGGAGCACAGTGTCTGGTGTGCACAAGGAGGAGCACAGTGTCTGGCGTGCACAAGGAGTGAGGAGCACAGTGTCTGGCGTGCACAAGGAGTGAGGAGCACAGTGTCTGGTGTGCACAAGGAGGAGAACAGTATCTGGTGTGCACAAGAAGTGAGGAGCACAGTGTCTGGTGTGCACAAGGAGGAGAACAGTATCTGGTGTGCACAAGAAGTGAGGAGCACAGTGTCTGGTGTGCACAAGGAGGAGCACAGTGTCTGGTGTGCACAAGGAGGAGAACAGTATCTGGTGTGCACAAGAAGTGAGGAGCACAGTGTCTGGTGTGCACAAGGAGGAGCACAGTGTCTGGTGTGCCCAAGGAGTGAGGAGCACAGTGCCTGGCGTGCACAAGGAGTGAGGAGCACAGTGTCTGGCGTGCACAAGGAGTGAGGAGCACAGTGTCTGGTGTGCCCAAGGAGTGAGGAGCACAGTGCCTGGCGTGCACAAGGAGTGAGGAGCACAGTGTCTGGTGTGCACAAGGAGTGAGGAGCACAGTGTCTGGCGTGCACAAGGAGTGAGGAGCACAGTGTCTGGCGTGCACAAGGAGTGAGGAGCACAGAGTCTGGCGTGCACAAGGAGTGAGGAGCATAGTGTCTGGTGTGCACAAGGAGGAGCACAGTATCTGGTGTGCACAAGGAGTGAGGAGCACAGTGTCTGGTGTGCACAAGGAGTGAGGAGCACAGTGTCTGGCGTGCACAAGGAGTGAGGAGCACAGTGTCTGGCGTGCACAAGGAGTGAGGAGCACAGTGTCTGACATGCACAAGGATGGGAAGCACAGTGTCTAGCGTGCACAAGGAGTGAGGAGCACAGTATCTGGTGTGCACAAGGAGTGAGGAGCACAGTGTCTGGCCTGCACAAGGAGTGAGGAGCATAGTGTCTGACGTGCACAAGGATTGCTAAATGAATGATTTCCTTCTGTCAGGAATCAGATTTTTAACTGATTTATTAATGTTCTCTATATTCATCTAAAAATGCTTATCTGCAGCTAGGTATAAATATTTATATATGGCTTGAACTTTTGCAAGATAGTAAATTGTTTAAAATAACATTTTATTCTAATTATGAAATTGAAAGCTAATTATAGAAAATATAAGTATGAAAAAAGGAAATTAAAACACCCATGATTTAACCTATTATCATTTCCATTACTTTTTGTGGGGTGTGTGTGTGTGTGTGTAAAGATATTTGGGACTTTTCTATAGTTTAAATCATACTGTGTACATGGTGCTACCTATTTTCCCCCACATAATTTTATTTTGTAAACATTTTTCCATACAGCAGTAAATATCTGTAAGCATCACATTAATAACTATATTAAACCCCTTTCCCTTGATTCTAAATGCACATTTTCTCCCACTTCTCTGAAAATGAGATGCATCTTACAAACAACAGAGAATTCCAATCATTTCAACCAAGTGGCATTCCAATATCATTGTGTGTGAATCTTCCACATTCCTACTGGTAAGAGCAAGAAAGGGCCAACATCAAAGCTACTTAGCTTTTTTTTTCTTTATTGATTAAGGTATTACATATGTATCCTTATCGCCCCATTGCCTCCCCCCCAACTCCCACTCAAAGCCACTTAGCTTTGATGAAAGATTGTATTCTACTTGATGAATATTTCCTTGGTTAATGTTTAACCTTCAGACTGTTCTCCCAAGCCAATGAGAATACTTTGGGGCTATCTTCTGCCATCCTTAGTGAATAGGAGTCTGCTTATAGAATATAAACAACTAATCCTAATATTAGCTTAAATTCCATTAAGGAGAAGAAAAGATATTCCAAGGCAAGATATAAAATATTCTGGATTATCTGTGCTACTACTTTCCACCAAAGATAAATACACATAGAGTCCGCTTCTAGTTTTTGAAATGCCATACAGAATTGGTGTACTAGTAAATAACACCCGATAAAGATATACTTTCTGATTTACATAAAAGAATTCACGCCACTTACCAGATTGGGGTCATAGTATGCTTCCTGAGTTGGTGGAATGTTGCTTAGCTGAGTGATATTAGCAGGGAGCATTTTTGAGCAATTTATTAACATGTGTTCCAGACCTGTTAAATCCTAACAAAGCAAAATAAAAGAATAAACTTTCTAGGTACATTACAAGTAATGATTGTAGCTTTAAATAGAAAAACTACATAAACATCTCCAAAATTTTTTTAAATGCTATCTTTAAAGACAGTTTGACTATATGGTTCTTAAGGTAAAGAGAGCAGAATGAGACAATACGAACACGAATATTTCATCTTTGTTTCAAAGTAAAACATCCTGAACCGTGAGGCACCATTTTACACAAGATGGGCCAGGGGATCACCAGACAGATGTCCTGCAGTTAGATTCATCTTGGCCCTCTCCATTAGTGAGCGTCCTACTCCTGGGACTGGAGAGGCCACGGCAGAGGGGCTGCTGTACCACGGGCCTGGCCGGTATCCAGTCGGCCACACCTGAAGCCCCTGAGTGAACCTGTCCCAGAACCTTACATGCAGATGTGTGCCGGAGACCAATTCAAGCATGTCATAATTTCAAGAGTTCCATCAAAAGGTTGATGAGACTTGGGGACTCAACAGGGTTGAGTCACACATGTAGTCATCTGTTGGGAATGGCTGAAGGCATTTCCCCAAATCTGAAAAGGGATTATTGCTTGGCTGCCAGACAGCTAAAAGGCATCTTAATCTACATGTTATTGCCTCCTACTGGCCAAATACCTGAACGCCAAATACCTGAACAGTCGTAGGCTAATTCCCCCATTCTGACAATGGACTCTGTAGAAACCCTGACCCTTTGAAGTGTATATCTCTGCCTCGCCTCAGGACAAGTTGTTAATAAAAAGCATGGGTCCTGGGGATAGAGAGAACCTAAGACCTTAGATTTAAGACCTTAGAACTTAGCTCCTTTAGCTAAGCTCCTCTGACCCCCAAATGCCTTTCAAAATTATATTTCGTCTCTGGACTCCTCTTATTTAACATCTACGCACAGCCTTCTCCAGATTCCTGAACCCTTCTTGATGCTGGGACAAGAACTCGGCAGATGTGGTCTGGCTCTTCTCCAGACAATACAATGGCAATCCCCACTGCAAGCCTAAAAGAAGGAATCTCAGAAAATATGAACTTCAAATTTGGTTTTCATTCTGGTACTAAAAATGAACTAGTTGTCGAATACCCTCATTAACTATTAACACTTGGAGTGGGGGAAACGAGTTAAGTCGGCTCGCGTGAATTGCGCGTACTCCGCGGGAGCCGTCTTTAACTCGGTTCATATAGATTTGCGGTGGAGTGCGGGAAACGTGTAAACTCGGGCCGATTGTAACTGCGTATTACCAAATATTTGTTTGTAATCCACCCTTTTGGTGGATGGAACAAAACCAAAAGACAGAGCCATCTTATATTCTGGCGGGAAATTCACCCCACACCGGAGTGTTAAGAATTACTCTTACTTGCATTACACTGAAATATGTAGGGGGAAAAGAGGAAGTATCAAAATTAAAAGTTTCATTTAAAACTGCTGCAAAGCATAGGGGGAAAAATACAACACCTGCAAACTCAAAGGCAGGTCATGAATTCTGGTAGCCAGTGTTCGGATTTCTCTGTCAGATAAGACACCAGATTGGTCGGTATCAACTTCATCAAAAACTTGAGATATATTCAGCGGCTGAACTGCACTCATGAGGTAGTAAAAATAAGAAAAAGCAAACTGCATATCCTCAGAGTGGCGCACTTTGTGAAATGATGTCTTGTCAAATTCTTCAGGGAACCTGTACAAATATAACACATATGAACTCGGGATATTTAAAATATAAAAAAATACCTAACATTTGTAGAGTTAGCGTCTCTTTCCTTTCCATTAGCAGCGGTTCTCAACCTGTGGGTCGCGACCCCTTTGGCGGTCGAATGACCCTTTCACGGGGGTCGCCTAAGACCATCCTGCATATCAGATATTTACATTACGATTCATAACAGTAGCAACATTACAGTTATGAAGTAGCAACGAAAATAATTTTATGGTTGGGTCACAACATGAGGAACTGTATTTAAAGGGCCAGAAGGTTGAGAACCACTGCATTAGAGCACAGATGTAAATTTCTTTTTCCGTTTTTGGTATTTATTTTTATTGAATTTATTGAGGTGATATTGGTTAATAAAATTAAACAGGTTTCAGGTGTACATTCTGTAATACATCATCTATATATATATTGTATTGTGTATTCCCCACCCCAAGTCAAATCTCCTTCCACCACCATTTATCTGCCCTTTACCCTCTTCTACCACCCTCATCCCCCTTTTCCCTCTAGTAATCATACTGTTGTCTGTGTCTACGAGTTGGTTTTTATTTTTTTTTATTTTTCTTAATCTCTTCACCTTTTTCACCCAGCCCTGAAACCCCCCTCCCCTCTGACAGCTGTCAGTCTGTATTCTGTATCTACGAGTTTGTTTCTATTTTGTTAATTTATCTTGTTCATTAGATTCCACATATGAGTGAAATCATATGGGACTTGTCTTTCTCTGACTGGCTTATTTCACTTAGCATGATACTCTCCAGGTCCATCCCTGCTGCTGCAAAGGATAAAGACATAAATTTCCAGCAGCTGTGGCTCTGAGCACATGCAAGCAACCCAAACACAAGCCAGACTTACATGTCCTGCAGTTCTTGCATAACTATTCGGTCGATCATGTGAGGCATGTGTGCAGGGACTTTCCTAGATGTGAATCCAAACTTGCTGTTTAGAATTTTATTTACATATCGGAGGGAATCTGCAAATGTGTCTTTCAGTTGCCTCCCAGTATGTTTGCTGTCAGTAAAGTACGCCAACTGCATCTTCAATGACTCTTCTTCCTAAAAAGAGAATTCCACATAATACAGCATTAGGTTTAGTGCAAAAGCATACTTGGCCAACAAGAGATAAAGGCATCCTTTTATATAACTTAGTAACTAGTCACTAACGATCCATGAGGGGCAAATGACATGAGGACCCTAAGAGCAGGACTAAACTGGATTTCAGAGAAAGTATCACCTGCATTGGCTTGAGAACCACAGTTGTGTGGTGAAGAGGGGGACGGAGGGGTGTGTGTGGAAAAAGTGAGGAAATAAACTTAGACAAGAACTCTTCTATCCTCACTCAATGCCCACTGCACCAGGTACAAGATACTTCCTGAATACAATGAAAGGAGTACCACGCAGTTCCCTCTTCATCCTCCTGTCTCCCAGTCTGACATCGCTCATGGCTGTGCTTTGTTCACAGTCCGGCCTAGACCACAGGATTTTTCTTGGTCTATCAACACTGACCCACCCTTCAGAAGTCAGCTCACAGGATACTTCAAGGATGCCTTTCCCCGGAGTTTTCTCTTTGGACACCTTACCCACACCTCAACAGAGACACTTGTCAGTTAGGGTTATTGAGATAATTAAATGAAACCATGTAAGAAAAAGCATTTAATTCAGTGGCTGGTGCACTATCATATAACAATAGCTACCAATTATTCAGCACTTATTTATTCAGCACCTATTTATTGTTCCTGAGCACGGGAAGGAATAAGGTTAGATGTAACTTACATCAAGAAGATCTTGGAAATACTTTTTTTTCTCCCAGGGCAAAAAGCCTGGGTAACTGTCTGTATAATGTTGCAGCTTTCTTCCAGGCAATACTTCATTAACACCTATGTGATTTTCAGCATTGTCCTCCATTCTGTTTTCCTCTTGTTCTTTCCCTACGATTTTCTTTTCTCTGGGCACCTGGTTTTTCTGTGGAACAATCAGAGATGAGAGCTTTTCTTTGGACACACTTCCACCTCCCACTTTTTGGGTCCGACTTTCAGATCGAAAGCTTGCTTTGGTTCCCAAGTCCTGGGGTGGAGTCCGACGCTGGTAGTGGCCATTCACTTTTATTGTCTCTGCTGGGAAAGTCGACCTCTGTAATCTCTCTCCTAAGCTGTTTGGCCAGATGCTTCTGTGAGCCCGTTTCGCCAGTGGGGCCGCCACACTCTCATTTCTTTCCTCTGTGATGCCAGCCTGGTTTATTTTTACTCCAGCATCCTGTGAGTTCATCAGAAACGATGTAAGCAAGGCTGACTTTGATAGGTTGTATCCCTTCATAGTGATATCTCCACGTTCTAGTTGCAAATCCAGGTGAGTGAGACGCAACTGGGCCTCTTTTGGAAGAAGCGAAATATTTACCAGGGGAATTTTCACCTCCTCTTGGGATCTCCCTGTTGTATTAACATCGTGTCTCTTGAACTTTGGGAAGCGTTTTTCTTCGGGAATATCCTCAAATGGGATTTCCACCTCTGGAAGAAGTGTTACGGGGCTAACCAATGTCTGGTAAGACCTCTGGGTGGTGGAGTTCAGTTTCGGTTCTTCTCTTGTGTCAACCTCGACTGAGATCTGGATTTTGAACTCCTTGTCGTCCCTACTTTGAAGTGTGAGATTAAAATGTATTGTAGTTGCATTCATTCCACTGTGCATTATGAGGTGGATGGTTTTCCACTTATTGGCTATGGAAGCGTGTCGAATTATGGGGTTGTCACTGTAGGCGCCTTCGATTCCCCTTTTGGCTATTTCTGCGAAGCTGAAATAAGGCAGGCATTCACCTTTTGGGATAACATAGTGAGTCTGGTTTGGGAGAAGAGTTACTTTATATAATTCATGAAAATGATCTAGAGGAGAAAACACAAAAATGACTTTTTAAAAGCTAGCCATTTCCTCCCTTTTCCTTTAATTATTAGAGTTTTGAGTTTTCACTTTCTAACAGTGACTCTAAATGGACTTTAAAATAATCAGAAATTCTAACACAGGAGCTACTGATATAGGGCTCCTTTACTGTGAAGCTGCCAGTCATTGACATGGAATGCTGCTGAGTGTGACTCGCTACCGAGACAGGACACAATTCTGACAGCAAGTTCCAATGATCGACTTCCATCTCTTGCCCATGTGAAAAAATACAACTGTCTGCAAAAACAACCTCTGTTAATAAGCTATCAACAAGATCCAGTATCAAAACTGTCTTTCTTTAATAAATGTCTTTTATTATTTCCAAATTAAGCCATCGCCATATATTTTCAACTAAGGGGAATCAGCTTAGTGAAAAAGACAAGACACTGGAATAACACAGGAAAAGATGCAGCCTTAGTATTTACTGTTCTCTAAAGATCTGTGTCCTCTTACTTTTAACTTACAACTAGTATGGATGCAAGGCTGGGAAAAGGAGACACAGAGAATAATGACTGTAAATAACAACAATGAGCCGAAATGCTCTCTACTGCCCAAGGACTTTTATCCCCTTATTCTTTTTCAATAGATTATTTTGACAATACATATACCTTGCCCACAGTCGCCAGCATCAAACCCGCAGGACAAGACGTTGCAGGCCTGGTCACAGAACTTATCAGCGAGCCAGGAGTTTGCACACCCTTGATTACAGTAAGAGACACTGTTTATTCCTCCGCCAAAGTGCCAGGGCTGGACAGCTCCCAAGCTCCCGGTTCCTCCGCCTCCGGCACCGTAGCGACTCCCTCCACTGTTACCTGTAGAGGGAGGGGGAAAACAGAATCTTGCTCGTTTTACAATGTTGAAAAAAGCTCTTTATTTCTTCACAGCGTTTTCAAGATTGATGCCTGAGTCTTAGTCAGGAAGGGTTCACTCTTTCCTTAGTAGAATAGTTCATGTAGCTAAGAAGAAAATAAACTGAAAGGGGGACATCACCTCATAGTGGGCTGGGCACCTACTAGCTGTGCCACCGGGAAGGACCTCAAACTGTCTCAAGGGGGCACCTATAGATGTGGATGGAGGAGCAGGAGAACAGGGAGAGGTTTTCCAAACAATGACTGTTAGAACTGCCCGAACAGGCCCTGACACAGGTGCTGCCCTCATTGTCAAGTGTGAATGTCCTGTCAGGGCCCTCTCTGCTCGTTTGTGTTCTCTCCCTGCAGCTGACCGTATTTCTCAGAAGTGCCTCTGACAGATCCGAGTGAAACACAACTTGAGGTTTTGTTTCCTCCCATACTTAACACTTTTCCAAATCTGTTTCCCCACATGGAATACGGGGTGCCATCTGTGCATACAAGCTCTCTTTCCTAGGTGACTAAGAAATTAAGATGGATAATGTTTCATAAGTTTAAATTCTTTGTCCACTGAAGGGCAATAAATAAAACTAAAAAAATTATTATCAACAAGTCCAAATATAACTGTCTAAGGAGAAGAGATGCTGAGGAGAAAAGACATTTTATTTCATTTATCTCTTTTTCATTCATCGACCTAAGACAACTGCTGTTGGAAGCCACCAGCCAGGAGCTCCTACGAGAACCAGTTAGAGTTGTTCTTGCTCTTGAATGTACATAATTAAGGGCAGTCCCTGTTTTCATATTTTCAATAATAAGAAAAGGCCTATGCAAGTGCAGGGCCCATGTGGGAAAATGCCCTCAACAATGGATAATATGAATAAACTGGGTCACAGCAGGACAACTGTCATCACCTCCAAAGAGTCTACGGATTACTCGTTATTTTAATACATGAAAATGTTACTTCATGGTGCATGTTCAGTAACGATTAGGAATGAGAACCTTCCATAAACAGAAGCAAATTACCCTCGAACGCATCCTTACCAGAGCAATCCCCACCATCCCAGTCACAGGCCGAGTTATTGCAAGCCTTGTCACAATAGCCGTCTTTAATCCAGGAACCTGGGCAGCCCTCAGCACAGTTGGGTACCGGCCATGTCAAATAAACCTATGACAAAACCAGAGAGAATATAGAACAGTTTCTGACAGTCTTCCTTCTCAAATTAGAATTCTTTAAAACAAAACTGAGCCTCTGGAAAAAGGTTAATATTTCCCACGGGCTGACTGCATTCATGGGGGGTATTTTGCTTTAAGTTTGCCTGGACCTGAAGGCATTTCCCCAGTTCTGCTCTCCTGATGGTACTGACTGAGCACATTTACTCTGTTCATTACATGAGGAAAGCAGAGAAGGACTCAGCTCACGGATCAGTTTTTCACACCGTGGTCTTATAATATATTCTGAAATAAAATAGCAACAGGTCAGGCTTAACTGGGAGTACAAGTGCATGCCAAAGTAGGTGGAATGTATTCCACACGAGCCACTGCTTTTCCGTGACAACTGTCACTAGCTCCTGAGTGTATCTGTGCATAATCTTGTATCGTGGCTGAGAAAAGCAGATGAACTCTACACATCCTTCTCTGCCAGCGTAAGTTCTGTGGCAAACTAACCAGCCCAGCAACCTGAGCTGGGAGCCCCCCTGCTTTCACAAGGTGTGATATGGTACACGGTGACTTCTCAAACTAAAATCATTGCAAAACCATGCTCCCCTTTGACAGTCTACAAGCCTTTGCACATTCCATCTGTTGGGGATCTAGTGAACTTGGACTTGTTCTTCAAAGTTCATCTCAATTCAGATAGGCATCCTTCCCTGTTCCTGTCTGATTTCACCCTCCCGTGTACCCACTGTTTAGCAGCCGGGCACACCTGCCGGCATGGAAGTCACTGCGTGGAGTCACTGATTTGTGTGTCTTCCCTGTTAAGCCACAGCTCAACTCTGCAGCCGTACAAGCTAACACAGGGGAGGCCACTGAGCAGGGGCACAGGGCGGTGAGCACACTGGAGTGACACAAACAGCAACAGGAAAAGCAGCTTCGTGCACTTAGCACTTACAGTTGCAGGGTTCATCACAAGCTTATGGTGATAAGTCTCCAGCTTATCAATGACTCCTTCTAACAACGCTACCCGGGTATTCCTATTTCCCCACTGGGCAGGCAGGAAACATAAAGGTCAGGTCATTGCTGAGGACCATAAGTAGCTGGCTCCTGGTCTGCGCTTCTCCATCCTGCCTCTCAAAGCCAGAGTGAGACCGGCCTCGATGAAATTTCACCCACCCCTTTAAGCAGAAAATTGAGCTAATTTTCTATGTTGGTCATTCTGCTGACATTGTAACCGTGATTTTGTGTTTCACGGTGATTTTGCTTTTTCTGCTGTTGTTGTAGTACAACATTTAAAGGGTCGGGGGAAAGAGTGGGTTCTGGGTGTCTGAGAATGTAGGCAAGCGAAAAACTACCAATCAATTAAAAGTTCCAATCAACTCAAGTCCTTTTCCTTCTTCTAACATGGCGACTTAAAAATCTTTCAGTAGTTTTCTTTCTCCAAAACTGTAAACTCTCCTGATCAAATGCTTATTTGATCAAATCTGAACACAGTTGTACACATATTGATTCCTGATTTCCCGCTAATAACTTCCAAGTGACTTCCGAGCCAGGAATCCCTTCCTCTTAGGTACCCACCTTTTGACCTTTGGAGTGACTATAAAAATCATCTGGCCAGACATCCTTCCCAAACATGACATCGTCATTCAGGTAAATAAACTTCTGGGACAGCCCTTCGATGCGATGAATGTGACTTTCAATAGCTGGTGAACTAAAGGTAGGCAAGTGGCTCAAATTTCGAAAAACATCCTTCGAACAGAAAAATACAAGAGAGAAAGAGGGTGGATGAGAGGGTGTTTTTCTTTTATTTTTGGTTTTGGAAGGAAGGCAGGCACATGGAAGAATTAAAGGAAGGTGGAAATGGAGGTGAGGAGGGTGAAGGGAATGAAATCAGGGAAAAGTAAAAGAACAGAAAAGACAGAACAGAAAACCACAGCCTCGTGATATACAGAAAGCCACATACCTGGTGTGTTACTATTGTCACTCGAGGATTATCAAGGTTCAGCCAGGACGGAATCTGCCCATTGGTGACTATGAAAATATTCCGAACCCACGGCGCGTGCCGCTCGATAGATCGCAGTGAGTACCTCAGTTCTTCATTATCTTCAAAACGGCTAGCAGAAACATCTTCATCCTGCTTGGACTGAGAAAAACACCTGGTGCTCGAAGATGTAAAATAGCCCTGAAGTCGCACCTCCCCGTGTCTCCCTGGGCCTCTCTGCTCTCAGGGTGCTCTGGCAGACTTTTAAAGACCCAGTCTTACTTTGAAACATTACGAAAACTGCAAAAGACTTAGCTCAGTTACAACAGCAACACAGATACAGCATTTCTTTAACACACTTTTTTAGAAAAGGTTCTTGGATCTGATTCTCGGTCACTTCGGGTAATATTAACCAATGGCAGGGACTGGAACATTAGAAAAGTCCCAGTCAACTCAAGTCCTCTTCCTTTTTCTAACAAAGCAACCTATAAATCTTCTAACAACCTAAACCGACTCGGTTTTGAAAGGATCTCTGCATTCCTTACCTGGCTGATGGCACTCAGATCCCATAATAAATACGCAGGACTTAGGGTCAGTTCTTTCCCATCGATGGTCATGTTCTTCTTAGTCTGCTTATTCAGTTCTTGGAAATCTTTGGGGTTGTTCAATTTTAGGAGTGCTACACTGGCCTCTGAGTACAGGTGCAACTATAAAATGACAACAGGGTTACCGGGGGAAAAACTGAGCCCTAATGAAGAGACACCTTGAAATTCCCAGTTTAATCTTTAAACTTTAAATATATATATAAAACATAGGCTATGTATTATATATAGTATACATCTAAATATATATTATACGTATTTAAAGATTAAATGTCTCATACATATACAAAGGAATATTGCAAGCCAATATCACCAAAAAAAAAGAAGAAGAAAGAAAGAAAGAAAACCTAAACAGTCAGATGCTTTTCCCAAATGAATGGAATGGGCCAGGAATTAAGAACAAGAGGGAGTGGCAGGGCCCTGGCGAAAGGGACATCTCAGGCCCCATCTGAAAGCTGCAGCCACTACTCAATGCCACCCAGTGCTGCCAGATCTAAGAGGACAGGAAATCTCCCAATTTCCTTTTTAAAAAGTATTTAAAATTTTTTAGTTACAGTTGGCATTCAATAGAAATCTCTCAACTTTCAATGCCGGCTCAAATGATTTTGATTGTCATACGTTCCAACACAGCACATCTGGTCACCGGTCTATGACCTGTGTTCTAAAATACTCTGTGTTCTGCTTACTCTGGGGGAAAGCCCTGCAGTGTAACCTCTCTATAATTGGCGGGGACCATGTCTGCTAGCAGGGCATCCGGATAGCTTTTGTGCCCACACGTAAGATGAATGAGTGTCTTTGGCAGAGCTGACTGACGTGCTTCCAAAAGCACGTTTGGGGGCAAAGCATTAGAAGTAATCATAAATCTTTAAGAGGGAATATCCTAAGCATTAACACGTTTTTTGTTATCGATGTGAGAGACACACTGATCAGTTGCTTCCTGTACACGCCCTGAGCTGAGCCGTGATTGGGCCTGCAACCCAGGTAAATGCCCTTGACCAGGAATCCAACCCTGACCCTTCAGTCCATGGGCCCATGCTCTAACCATTGAGCAAATGGGCTAGAGCTTAACACATTTTATAAATAGGCTTCCCTACCTCTACCCAAGTCCATAACACCCTTGATGTTTATGTTCTAAGCCTATAATACATTTTCCCATGAAAGAGGCCTTTCAGAGCTTAAAAAGCCAGGAAGAGGATTGAAAACCACTAACTGAGGACAGTAAAATCCTTCTGCCGAAATGACTCTTTCTAACGGAGCCTGGGCTTTGTTTTAAATTTATAAACCAGAAGCAAACACAAATTATATGGCCTCCGATTAAGCTCTTGTATTTGTAACATGACTATACTTAGCTCATCTTTCAAAGGCTCCTGAGTTTACGTAGGCCCCAAAACTAAAAGTTAGAGTTAGAATTTTATTTCTCTTTTCCCCTTTTTATTATGTGGGCCATTCACTCTTACCAGAAATGCTTGCACGTGTAATGTCTTCCTAACTAATTACGTTCTTTCACCTTGGCAGTGCCTGGCATACACTAAGCACTCACTGAAGGTCAGCTCTCATTGCTGCCACCATCCTGCCTCAGGGTGAATATTCTACCTGGGAACCTACAGAGCCTCACTATCCACCCTAGGCCTCTGCTGCTCCTTCTCTACCTCCCACCGAGGCTCTCACAGCACCTCTTTGGGCTCCCTGGAGTATAAAAATCACTACTCGAGAATACATCAAGATAGTGTTATCATATCCTAATTTAATTTTAAAATTACTGGGGAAATAGCCTTATCTTGATCTCTTCTTCCAAACTGCTTTTATTCTGGAAAACTATTTTGAAATTTCACAGACAGTTTCCTAAGGTAAGTACACAATACTTGGAAAGAGATGAAAAGAAAAAACATAAGGGAATATTTGTGTATGAAAAAGAATTTCTGCCACTGTAACCAACCAGGTTTTGAGTAGTGAAAAAGGGTGGGAAGAAAGTATCCTGGGCTAGCCACTAGGTGGCTCTCCAGTCCTGGACACAGTAATTACTTTTCCGGAAGAGACAGGAGGGGTACTGAAGCGTGGTTGTAGTGAGTGCCAAAGGCTGGGGTTCTCAGCTTGGGCAACTGCTTCCATATGTAGCTCCTTACTTGAAATTCTAAGTTTATCTAAATTCTTTAAATCATAAGTTTCTCAAAGAGAGAACAACTGGACACCTACCCCCTGCAGACCCACAAGGGACAAGTTAGTATGACTGAGAGATAAAGCGTGCTATCTCTAAGTCACTGACACTTCCATATGTTTGTAACTGTGGCATTTGCAAGAATGATGTGCCTCCCCTGGCTGATTTGGCTCAGTGGATAGAGCATTGGCCTGCGGAATGAAGGGTCCTGGGTTCGATTCTAGTCAAGGGCACATGCCCGGTCTGTGAACTCGATCCCCAGTGTGGGGCATGCAGGAGGTAGCCGATCAATGATTCTCTCTCTTCACTGATGTTTCTATCTCTCCCTCTCCTTCCCTCTCTGAAATCAATAAAAAAATATATATTAAAAAAAGGAATGATGTGCTTGATACGTCCATATATGAGATAATATATGGTTAGGGAAAAAACATACCAGCTAATAAAACTGAAAAACAAATTAGCTCCTTCTAGTGATCCGACAACTCAAACCTACTACATCTTAATATGTGCTGGTGGTTTTCTAAAACTTAAATCAGTTCCAGAGTTGTTTAACCTGCTTATGTCTTTATTTTAGGAATAAAACCAAAAGAAAGGGTGACGTGCTTTAAGAGAACAGGTGCATGACCAGTTGAAGGGAAGTCATTAAAAGAAGGGGCATGAATACAATATTCCTACAATATACTGTGACCTTGAACATGCCCTGACAGAGGTCCAGGCAGGACAATATGGTGTTCCCACTCTGCCCGCACTGTCCTTCCTGCTGAACCATACAACTTGGTCAGCCTTCAAGGACCCCGGGCAGCCTCTTTCTCTTTGAAAATGTTCCCCATGTCTCTGATCCACACAGACCTCTCCTGTTTCTAAATGCCAACCTCAACTCTAGACTATTCTTCTCTTGTTTTGCTACTTGAACACTTACTATGCAAACATACTGCCTCCCAAAAGAGATTACAAATAGCATGAGGACAGCCCCCTGTCCTCCACTTCTTCTGCACACCCACCCAGCAACCACTATCATGGAACTGAACCAAATGTGAGGATGCACTTGAGAGCGTTGGGAAGATTTTCCACCTGCTCTAACATATGTTAAAGAAGTGAACAAGAACAAATATCAACACACAAGCAAAACCCCACCATAAATGAAAATGTCTAAGAAAGCAGGAGGATTTAGAACGAGTGAGCTGAAAATAAAGACCAATAGACAATCTAGTTTCCCAAAAGGTGAATTCTGTGTCCAGCACATACAAAAATTCTACAGATCATAAAAGAATTCACCTCAAGGTATCTCAAACTAGAAAGCCTTTAATAGAAAAGATTGATTTATAAGACTATAGTCCTCAGTAAAGTTTTTATGAATTCAAATCTATTACCTGGTAAAAAGAAACCATTTTCTTCAAGTCCCACCTCCCCTCCAGAGGGTGTAGGAGTGCAGATTTTGGCTTTGCTCTAACCGGAATAATAAAGGCAAAGTAATGTTGCATGAATACAGCCCTGGTGCCATAAACCTAGTGAGGCCTATGGATAATCATACTGGCTGAACCGTTTCCCTTTGTAGTCCAAGACAGTGTATGTGGTGGTGGTGTGGGGGTGGGGGCGGGCAGGTTATAGTCACAGCCTTTCTTCTTGCTCATTCTTCAACAAGCATTTCTTGAGTGGCCCCATAAATGCCAGGCCCCAAGATAATCACTAGGGGTACAAAGGTGAACAGGCAGTATCACTGAGGCGTCTGGGGCAGACAGAGCTCTCGATGGCCAGGCCTCCTGGAGGAACTGAGAGGGCAAAATGGTTCAGCTGCTGAGGCCCTGAAGTCCATGCCTAACGGCCCTTTCCTCCCACATGCCACAAAGCACCTCTAAGGAAACATCACCCACACAGAGCTCAGAGTTTCCTTCCTGAAAAAGCTTGCTTCTCCCACTGAAGCTCTGAGTGTGGCTAATGCCATCGCTCCCGTCTTCTCTAGAAACACCCACTTCCCCTTTCATTTTTCCTTCCCTCTCCCCCAGCTAAGTCACCAGGTCATGCTGAGGGGCTCTCTCTGATGTTTCTGGAACTATTCTCATCCTTGCACCACCAACAAGGCACTTGCTGAACCCAACTGTCTTGCTGGGCTCAAGCAGCAGTGGCTAAACTGGTTTTCCTGCCTCCAAAGTCATCTTGTCTAATCCCTAACTGCTACACCTTTTCCTGCTGGGTTTTTCTGCCCTGGCTGGTATTGCTCAATGGTTAGTGTTAGCCCACTCACCAAAGTGGTCTCGGGTTTGATTACAGGCAAGGGAGAGTGCTAGGTTTACAAGTTAGATTCCTGGCACCTGTTGAGGTGTGTGCTGGAGGCAGGCAATCAATGTGTCTCTCTCACATCAATGTTTCTCTCTCTCTCTCCCCTTCCTCCAGTTTCATTTCCACTCTCTGAAAATCAAAGGGAAAAAAAACCCTCAAGTGAGGATTTTTTTAAAAAAAGGACAGATATACCTGTTTCTGTAATTCTGGAACCAATAGCTAGGAAGCCAAGAAGCCAAATAAACATGGTTGAAATCAATGTTAATCTACAGTTTTATCTACCCAAGTCAATAGCAAATATAGTTCAGGGGAAAGAGGAATGTAATATATATTTTAAAAGAACTGCAGATTAAGAAAGAATTCAACCCTAATCTAGCTGGGCACTACCATATTTCCAAGTACCATTAAAAAAGTAATGGAGGAAAATGTGAAAAAAAAAAAAAAACCCAACATATAAATGTCATTCATGTTATCATTATTTACAAAGATTGTACAATGTATCTTGAAACAGTGAAACACGTGGGAAAAAAAAGAAACAAGCTGGGGAGAAGAATATAAAAAACATGGTCAAAACAGGTACTAAAGTAAGACCTCCCCCACTCTCAGCTCTCCCCCGCCACCTCCAGGTCCATCCTTCACCTCCAAATTGTTCAATGACACCAACAGGAACAAGAAGTAAGAATCAGTAAGCTAAACACAGTGGCAGAATTTAACACTTCTTTGTAATACCAAGAAAACCAGGGCCTAACAAATTTTTTTTTTAATTTAATATATTTTATTGATTTTTTTTACAGAGAGAAAGGGAGAGAGATAGAGAGCCCGAAACATCAATGAGAGAGAAACATCGATCAGCTGCCTCTTGCACACCCTCTACTGGAGATATGCCTGCAACCAAGGTACATGCCCTTGACCGGAATCAAACCTGGGACCCTTCACTCCGCAGGCCAACGCTCTATCCACTGAGCCAAATTGGTTAGGGCAGGGCCTAACAAATTCTGAGCCAAGAACTTTATGCCCTCTCTTTTAAGAGAAAAGACATCCACGTTTTACAACCTGAAAGGCTTCCAAAGGACAGCAGGCATACTGACATAAGGTCAAATGGAAAGTGTACCCACAGGAACTGGGCCCTACATCAACAAGACAATTGGCTCTGAAAACAATACAAACTCAGTTTCTCCAACGCTTCCTTTCCCCAACAATTCAGTTCTCCACCAAGTTGTTCACAGAAAAAAATGTCTAAACTAAACTTCCATTTTCAAACTGACAACCCTTTCAAGCTGACACCTCAGCATGACAAAAAGCATCTCTCAGGCAACTAACAAAGGAGAGAATGCTTTCCTTGCTGGTGATTAGCACAATTTTAAAACATGAAGAGGCCATCAAGAATGCTAATGTTGCTAAGGGTGTGAAAGAAACCATGATCACAGACAATTGAAGAGGTAGAAAAACTGTTGTTCATGTGAATAAAAGAAGAGCAGTTAGCCAGTGATAGCCAATTCGGAGACAGTGATAGATGAACAAGCTAAGATGCTGCATGCTGACCTGAAAGACATCCCTAGACCTAGACCGAATGCTAAAAGTGATTCATTTAAGGCTAGTAAGGGGTGGTTCGATAAATTTAAGAAAAGAAGTGTTAATTTATAGATTAAACAGTACATTATACATGTACTGTATATGAGAGGGTAAAAAGGGAATCATTTGTGGGTCTGGGATGGATTAATTCAATTTACATTATTTCTAATGGGAAAAAAGGATTCTGTTTTCAAAGAAATCGCTTCTGCAATAGCCTTCCAGAAAGAATTAAGTTCGAGAACCGAGGTTCCACTGTAAATGTGACAGAAAAGGCATGTCACAGGGCAGCCTCCAGTCAACTCTAACAAATGGCATCACTAGTCAAGCATGAGGAGTTAATAAATATAAATCCTAAATATGTTAATGACTCAATTAGCTATTAGTGAAGGGAGGTTTCACATTATCAAATGTTACAAGTATCTGAAGCACACTCCCTTTGAGTAACAGCACCTGACACATAGTAGAAGTTCATCTCTATACATAAAAGCCTAAACAACTGTTACAACCTGATGACCGGATGACCAGCCGGTAGCTGTGATGCACACTGATCACCAGGGGGCAGATGCTCAATGCAGGAGCTGCCTCCTGGTGATCAGTGTGCTTCCACAGCCAACCTCCCACGGCTGGCCAACCTCCCGCAGTCCCTGCCCCCAGCCGGCTGGCCCCAATCGGCCCCCGATCACCAGCCAGGCCGAAAGACCCCACTCATGCATGAATTTGTGCACCGGGCCTCTAGTTTGTTAAATAAATGATCCTGCTTCTGAGAAACCTGCAACCAAATAAGACCCTTAAGATTTTACCCAAATGAAGAGTAAGGAGTAAAGATCTCCTGTAAACAAAGGGCTGTCTCCATACTGTGGCAGAATAGAGACCCACTTTGTTTCTTACGATTGCCAGCTCTCCTATGAAAGAAACGGACCGCAAGAGAAGAGTCATGCATTAAATGAGATGTTTGTACTGGGTGCTCTATCATCTAGGTTCTTACCAGTTTTATTTTAGAAGAAAGATTTTCTGGCAATTTTGCTTTTAGTTGATTTGTCTCCTTGAAGGTCGGTGGAAACCCACTCAGGAAAGCCAAATCTTGCATTAGCACTAGCCCAGGGACTTCTTTATCTGTGGTCTAAAATAAGAGGGGAAAAATACAAGTCCCTTTCCACATCACCAGGCTGGTGAAATCTTACAGCTGAGAAAACCAGCAAAGATCTATTATATCAAACAAGCTTCAAAGTCAGAGTTAAGATTACTTAGATCAACATTCATTAATACTAGCAAGCTAGCCTCAGAGAAAAAGTAAACATTAAAAAGTGTCTCAAAGTAAACCAGCTTTATTACTCATACTTGTATTCTAGTCTACTGCAAGAACAAAATTAATTTAAAATAACATACCAAATAGCCCCTCCAAACTGTCTGTTTGCTGTTTCCCTTAAAGGTTTCAGCATGGGCATCTTCAACTACAACAAAGAATACAATAAACAAGCCAATTTTTAATGAATACTTAACTATAACATCTGACAGGACACTGTACAAAGCATTTTGAGAGCTGATAAAACAGTATAATACATGGTCTCAAAAAAGGTAGTTAAGGGAGACAAAACCATCCAACAAAAGTGGAACAAGGTAATGCAGTGTGTAATTAATGTTAAATTTTGAAATATAAAAGGAGAGATTCATGCGGGCAGCAGAGACATGGAAATGACAATTTGACAGAAATCACAGCTGTAGGAGCAAACAGAAGGGAGCTCCTGGAAGCCAGGCCAGTGGCATTTAAACTAACAGTGGGGACCCACTGTAGATCCTAGGGTTCCTCAAGAGTCACAACGAACTGAGGGAATGTTGAATAAATTATATTTTTAAAAGGTTAAATGATAAATTCTTATATAACTACCTATACAGTATTGGTCATTTTGGCTCTGGCTCCCCCTTTTATTTCTTTTTTTGCCTCTGGCTCTTTAAGAAGGGATCTGCCATCCCTGACCGAGATAACTGAGGATGGATGATAAAGAGTGAGCCTGTGTCCCACTATAAATGTAAGCTCCATGAGGGCAGAAATGTGTCTTTTTGGTTCTCTGCTGTATCCCTATTACCTAGAACAGTGGTTGGCAAACTGTGGCTCTCGAGCCACATGTGGCTCTTTGGCCCCTTGAGTGTCGCTCTTCCACAAAATACCATGTGTGGGCACGCATGTACAGTGCGATTGAAACTTCGTGGCCCATGCACAGAAGTCGGTATTTCATGGAAGAGCCACACTCAAGGGGCCAAAGAGCCGCATGTGGCTCACGAGCCGCAGTTTGCCGACCACTGACCTAGAACAACAACCAACTCAGAGCAGTGGCTCAACGAACCTTTACTGAATGAATATAATAAGTAGAGCAGTCAAACAGAAACCCAAGTGGGAATTCAAAAAACAGCTTTTAGAAGACTACAATTTAATGCAGATTTTACTAATCAAAATCAAGTTTTTGCAATGCTATAAAATTAGTGGAGGAAAATCCAAGATTCTCTCCATAGGTGTTACAACTGAGTTATAACTGTTAACATATTGTCATTTTTTTCTTCTTCAGGTGGAATGTTTTCAGAGTACCTTAATTTAAGGACTTCTTCATTTAAAAAACAAACAAAGCTAACTTTAACCAAATAATAAATCAGATAACTTGCTATAATTTGTCAAAGATTATCCCTTTACTTTCCCTATATATTTAAAATACAACAAATAGAAAAACCTAGGTTAATTATACTGAATAAATAGTGCTCGTTGAAGTGAGCACAAAAACTGAATTTCTTTAAAACTGCATCATTTCTGTTCCACTCAGAATTTTTAAATTCAAACATCCAATGGTAACATGACGTTGAAATACCCACAAGAAGACCTTACCATTCTTAGTACTATCGAAAACAACAACTGAAACATTAGTCGAAGGGTTTTTTGGTTTTGCAACATTGAATACGTCGCTGGCAAGATGAAAAGAAGGGTAAAGTGATGGCAGGTCCTTCAGTGTGACGTTGGCCGGCAGGGCTGGGTCCAGGACAAGCATTGGCACTTTAATGCAGTGTGTCAGCAAGCATTCCAGCTGCTTCTCACTGGAAAGAAACACCAACACCCTCACAACAACATTCTTGAAAAATCAATCAACAGTAAAAAGCTGGTTGGTACCACTACATTTCCCAGATGTTTGTCTAATAGCCTATTAAAAATCATATATATATATGCCTAATATGCAAATTGTCCACTCAGGAGTTTGACCAGGAGACTGGGAGTTCAATTGCTCACTATGCGATGACATGTGGTAACCACCAGGGGGCATGGAACGAAGGGAGGCCCTGGCCAGCAGCTGGAAGGCCTCAATAGGCCTGATCGCAGTCCAGGCCTAGGGACGCTACCTGTGCACGAATTTTGTGCACCGGGCCTCTAGTATTTTAATAAACAAGGAATTTTATCTCAAAAATATAAAACTTAGTAACTTAGAAGTATGATATATAAAATCTTTAAACAAGTGCAAATCAAAAGATAGAGCTTTCAAATTTCTATTAATAAAATGACTGCCACCAAAATTTAATAACTCAAAGTAGCACCAAAAAATAGCATTTCATTACTATCATTTTAAAGATCACTCATAATTCCAGTAAAGCCCACTAGGCTGAATAGAAAGTTGATAAATTCTGTTTGATAGAGTGTCATCATACTACTCACAACTTACCAAGTTCAATTAGAATACAATCAAATATATTGAATATGATACAACACTGATGCAAACAAAAGTAAATGATATAAGGTTCTAAGATAATTTCATATGAGACATTTCTATCTATACCTAAAAAATACCTAGAATAAACATATTATCTAAACAAACGAACAGGCAAAAGACAGAGCTAGAGAATTCACAAAGTGATAGCTATGACTCTAAATAAAATTGTCCAACCTAATAATTAAAGAAATGCAAAAGAAAACAGTGTTTACTAAATTAGCACCCTTCAAAAAATAGTGACTCAATGTTAGCGCAAGCACAGTAAACCTGTTCCTCTCCAAAACTGTTAGTGTCACCATAAATGTTCACCATTTCCTCTTTGGAAATACATATACTATATATCCATATAGTAAAAAAAAGACACATGCTTCTTCCTCAGTAGTTTACTTCCATGTAGGAGAAGAGAAACAGAGAGAATAAATAAACCCACACACTGAAAATGCCAGACCCCCCAAAAAAATCTAAAGTATTGACAACAGTAAAAATATGTAAGTGTCCAACATTTAGTAAATTATAGTACAGTTACTTTATGGGGTATTATACAACTATTAAAATTGCGAAGAAAGAAGCATGAAGATAATTTATCAACACAGAAATATGTATAATGGTATAAAATTTTAAAAATAGGATAGGATACAAAATATTACATAGATTATAAATTATAAGTATAAAAGCATGCATGAAAAGAGAATAAAATGATCATAGTTGTTTAATGAAGACCACAGAATTCTGCATATTCTTTTCCCTTTCTTCTCAACTTTTCTGTAATGTTGCATCATTACTTTAAATAATTTAAAAGGCATTTAAAAATAATAGTATTAACAGTAGTATATATAAGTAAATATAAGTAACATAAACAGATGATTCAGAAGGTACTTCTGGATCTCAAAATTGCTCAGGATCATTTTTCTATGAATAATTATTTTATTTTTAAGTCTAATGGTTAAGTGGGGAAGTGGTCATTAACAGAGATTTCCACTTCTCAGTGAGACAGTCTTGTTTTAAGGATCTAAGTCAGGTATGATTCAAATCAAGATAGATATCTCAGATTTTTGTCACTGAGCTAAATTCCCTTCCTAGTCCTCAAATATAAGACATACAACTTCAAAAAAAAAAAAGACATATAACTTCGACAGCATTTAAAGGTAAGAAAATATACATTAAGTATATAATTAAATAATGGATATAAATGAAACACTGGAGTTAGAGTTTAAGTGGACCAAGAGAATAGTATACCAAGACAGATTAATGTGAATGACAGAGAAGAAAAACCTTTCTAACCCTCCCAAAAAGTGATAAAGCTTTGGTTAGTTAGCTACAACCCAAATAACCAGAGTCCTCAATCAACTACACCTTTGACACTAAAAAATTTCCCATCTAATGAATGCACAGTAATTTGGGGGTCAAAAACTAGCTGGAAAGGGACTGAATAGGAGTAAAAGAGTTAACACAAAATACTGTGTTCCCAACAGAAATGGGTGTGAACCTGGAAGTTTCACTTCAGTCCTTCAATTTTTCATTCCTGAGAGAAAAATCAAACTGCTTACCTCTTCTTAGTTGGTTCTGTTGTGTTCTTCCCAAGGATTTCTCTAATGAAAGCAAACACATTTCATTACATATGCATGGACCAGTGCTGGCCCTAAATGTGAATAGCAGATGACTTACAACATTGATTTTCTTGGTTACCCTACTGGAACTAACCAATAGAAAGTGCTATAATGCTTGCAACATTTAAGGTACATTATAAATTATACATTTCAATGACATATGATCAACAAATATTGTCAGGTACCTTCCACAGTAATCATGACAGATTACTTAAAATAGAAGCTTTTACATCTTACTAAAGGGTGTCCCAAAATTCACGCAAGATTTGAATTTTATGCCATTTGTGCCGTAAAGTGTTCCCAATGGAAAAAAAAAGATAGCGTGACAGCTGACAGTTCAGGGTTATTAAAAATGGAGCGCTACACGAAAGAACAACGCGTTTTCATTGTTGAGCAATATTTTAAAAATAATGAAGGTTTGGCAGCTACAGTTTGCAATTTTTGTGCAAAATATGGTCGGAATAGTGATTTAACTTCAACTGTGAAGAGATTAATTAAAAAATTTAGGGAGACTGGATCAATTAGTAATCTTTTTTTTATATATATATTTTATTGATTTTTACAGAGAGGAAGGGACAGAGATAGAGAGTTAGAAACATCGATCCAGTAGGGAGTGTGTAGGAGGCGGCTGATCGATGTTTCTCTCTCATCGATGTTTCTAACTCTCTATCCCTCTCCCTTCCTCTCTGTAAAAAATCAATAAAATATATTTTTTAAAAAAAATTTAGGGAGACTGGATCAATTAGTGATCTTAAACACTCTGGCCATCCTTCAACAAGTCGTTCAACACAAAACATCGAAGCAGTTCGTGAGAGTGTTGCTGAGAGTCCAGGGACATCAATTCGGCACCGTGGTCAAGAATTGGACATTTCGTGAAGCTCTCTACAGTGTATTCTCATGAAAGATTTGCATCTTCATGCTTACAAAGTTCAATTGACTCAAGAACTGAAGCCTACTGACCATGCACAGCGAATAGAGTTCATTGAATGGATTATGGAACAACAACAAGTGGATGCTGATTTTTCTAACAAAATCATCTTCAGTGATGAGGCTCATTTTCATCTTGATGGCTTGGTTAATCGACAAAATTGTCACATTTGGGGTTCAGAAAATCCACGAGTGATTGTTGAGAAACAAATGCATCCACAACATGTCACTGTTTGGTGCGGATTTTGGGCTGGAGGCATCATCGGACCATTCTTCTTCGAAAATGCGGCTGCTCAGGCAATAACAGTTAATGGTGCTTGCTATCGCGACATGATAATCCATTTACCCGATATGCTATTCCATACATAACCCTATACTGTATACTTTATGAATCAATAAAAAATTTACAATTTTTAATTATAAACCTGTGTTTTCTATCAAAATTACTTCTTGCGTGAATTTTGGGACACCCTTAGTAAAACATGGTACCAGGCTGTCAAAGCTCTTTTCATGCCCTGGGAAGGTCTTCCATCATTCTCTAACACTGAGAGAAAGACTATTTGTTGCAGTTTAATCTGGCCAATGACCTGCGACTGGGTGGCACCCATTACATTCACAAAGGAGTGAATGGAGTTCTCAGCAAACACTCCTGAGGAATCAGAGGGGAAATTACATCAGCGAGGTCCCTAGCTCAGAAGGCTCTCCAGAAGCCCACTGTACCCACCTTTCCCAGATAAAGTAAATAAAATGAAATTCCACATTAAAAAGAACTACCAAGTTTTTAGTTCCATAGTATATTAATTGATATTAAAAGGGAATATATTTTTTACTGCCTGTATTGAATGGAAAACATTTAAATCTGTAGGCCTGTTTTCTTTTTCAAGGGAACAATCTAACTTACTTATAAAATGCAATGAAACCTCATTTCTTGAGGATGCCTGGGACTCAGATTGAGCAGGAAGTCCAGATCTCCTCTGGGAGGGCCCTCAGAGACCAAGGCCACCATGGAGTGCCACAGTCTAAAATGACCATCTAACAAAGTGAGGCCAGGATCTCACCAAAGTGGCTGAGTCCCCTTTAGGCACCAAGAAACCAGGGTCAGACATATGGCTGCCAAGATCTTGCAATGGCATGAATTTGAGATGCAGATTTTTGTTTGGATGGCTTTGTAAATGTCACCTTACCCCTCTGAACTGTACTGTTACTTGTAGAATGTTGTGTTTTGCTTTTCAAACCTCAGCTTTACCTCATAGCTTTCTGCTCCTCTTCCATCTGTTCCCTGACTTGATGCAGTTCCTTCAGTAGTTCAAGGTCGGTGCCATTCACCCAGGTGTATACCACGTCGATCGGCATGGGCAGACAGAGCCTAGGGCAGACCCACAAGTCCTCAAGCTCATATGCATTTTTCCAATATATTTGAAGAGTATGTCAGGTTTAAACTTAGAGGTCATGAAAAAAATGAATGAGAAGGTAATTCCAGCCTGGCATATATCACAGAATTGCACATTTCAAACTGGAGCTGAGGGACAAATCCATGCTGGAGAACTTTATGCAGTTTATGTACTTTATGTAGTTGGCATCATTTGGTCCTCTCAACCACCTTGTAAAGGGACTGCTATCACTCCACATTTAAGATTGGGGGAGGGGGGGGGCAGAGAGAGGAGGTCATAGAAGTGCACATCAAACTGATACATTCTCAGTTTAGTGAACAATGGTATTCAAATGCAGCTAAACATAGAAAAGAATTAGAAGCTTAAAATGACCGAAGAGTTATCAAGCAGTCCAGAATGAAGACCTAGCTCTATTGAATGCTTAGCCTTCCTGTTCCTCGCTGCCCCCAAGTCCTAGAATGTCCCTCCCCTAGAATGTAAGCTCCAACAAAGCAGGAAACTTCCGTTTTATTCCCTGAAATACCCAATAGATTAGAAGTGTCTGGCACATGGGAGCTGAGTACATATTTGCTGAATGAGCCAATGATTTCTATGAGACACTAGCACAGAACTTTCCAAACACGCTCAAATTTTTTCCTCATTATCCTCAAAATAAGGAGTCAGACAGGCTTTTAATTCTTTGTTTTGTTATTGTTGTTTTTGCTTTTAGTGTGTGTGTGGGGAGGTTGCTTTTAATTCTTGAGTATCCTTTCTAAGCCTCATCTTAGTGTTTTTGTTCAGGTTGTACCCCTGATAAAAGCTTTCTTTCCCTTTCTTTCATCAACTTACCCAATCCTACCCATCTTTCAGGGTCTGCTCTAGACGTATGACACAGGAGTTCACAGTGACATATGATATATACTTTGGATGGTTCTGTGTATAGTTTGGTCTTTTCCAAGTAACGGCAATGGTACAACTTCGTCCCTTTGCCTTTCCCTTCCCCTTCCCCTTCCCTTTCCTTTCTTTTCTGGCCAAGGATCAAAGCTTACTCTCCTTTTGTTTTCCTCACAGGCAGGCTCAGGTTAAGGCCCACAACAGTACAAAGGTCTCAAGAGCCTAACCAACCAAAACATCACGTCTTTGCTTGTGGCTACAATCATACCTTGCAGCACAGGGTTAATTATCTCATGGAAAATAAATGTGGTTTGGTGGGTAAATCTTTCCTATTAAAAAAGGAAGAAAAATAGAAGTGACAATAAGTTTTAGCTTAAAAGAAGCAAGTGAGCCCTAGCTGGTTTGGCTCAGTGGAAGAGCGTCGGCCTATCAACTGAATGGTCCCGAGTTCGATTCCTGCCAAGGGCACATGCCCAGGTTGTGGGCTCAGTCCCCGGGGGGTGGGGGGAGGGGTGTGTGTGTGCAGGAGGCAGCCAGTCAATGATTCTCTCTCATCATTGATGTTTCAATGTCTCTCTCCCTCTCCCTTCCTCTCTGAAATCAATAAAAATATCTTTAAAAAAAAAAAGAAGCAAGTGAGATGAGGAGAGAAAAGGAGTGTCTACTCATTCAGTGAATAAGTGTTTACTGAGCACTTAGTATGTGCCAGGCACTGTTCTAGATGCTGGGGATTCAGCAGTAAACAAAACTCAAATCTGTGCTTTCATGGAGCTTACATTCTAGAAAGGTGAAGACGTGAACTAAACCAAATATAGTCAGATGATGGCCAGTGTTATTATGGAGAAAATGCAGAAAATGGCGATACAAAGTGTGCCTACATGGCAGGTCAGTGTTAAACGGGGAAATCAGAAATGGCCTCACTGGAAGATGGCATTTCAGCAAAGATGGGAAGGAAGGGAGGAAGTAAGCCATGTGGGTAACTGGGGGAAGAATGGTCCAGAGGAAGGGAATGCCCTGTGCAAATGCCCCAAGGTGGACACCTATTGGGCATGGTCAGAGGCCAGTGTGGCAGAAGCAATGGGAGCAAAGGGAAGAACAGGAGAGGAGGTGGAGTTAAAGAGGTACCAGGGGACGAAGGGCTTCATGGGAAAATGAGGAGTCACCTCACACTCAGGTCTGATGGCTAGACTAGCCCCTACCAACCCTCCGGAGTCAAGGTTCACCGCTGCCTGCAAATTAAAATCTGAACTCCTACACACTCTGCACCCTGTTTTCTAGACACCCCAACTGTCTGGCCTTACCCAAACAGGATAAGACCTTGCAGGCTTTTGTGCCTCTGAACACGCTTCCTCCTCTGCCTGAAATATCCTTTCTTTCATGCTTCTTTCAACCACTTCCTCCTTCCCAATCGCCCTCTTCCCACTGCTCCCACGAAGAGCATGTACTGCTCCACATGCAGCTCCCACCGTGCTCTGTACACTGAGGAATCCTTAGCACACTGTGTTGGACTGTTTCTCAGTGTCTATCTTCCCAGTCTAGTTGCAGTATCTCTGGGCCGAGATGTTATGCATTCTGTGACCTGCCTCACTATTTCCTCTCTGTCCTTTATCTTCAGGCTCTCTCTTCCACCGTCATGGTGTGCAAAACGCTTCCTCATGAAGGTTTTATTCTGCATGTATCTATATCAGTGGTTCTCAAATGCTAGCAGGGAGGAACCACAATCTCCTGTAGAACTTGTAAAACAGACTGCTGGGATCTATCCCCAGAATGTCTAATTCACTAGGTCTGGCCTGGGGCCCCAGAATTCACATTTCTAACAAGGTCCCAGAGAAAGCCAATGCTGCTGGTCTGGAAGTTAAATTTTGAAAACTGCTGATTTATATGTCAATTATAGTTCACATTTTTAAGTAAAAACAAAAACAAAAAAACTGTCCCACTAAGATGTCAGTTCTATGTGAGTTCTGCTTATTCATCACTGCATGCTTAGGAACAGTGCTTGGTACATGAATAGGGCTTAATATATACTTGTTAACTAAATAAATATTAGTTCATTCCCTGAACATACACTGGTCTTTTCCATTTTTTTTTTAAATCCTCACATTACCCTCATGTAAATTATCTGAGGTCATCCCACTCCAACTTCTTGAGTTGCTTAGACTGAAAATTTAAAAAACTGCTTAAGTAATTTATTTTAAAAATATTTAAAAAAGAAGAAAAGAACTGTACATTCCAAAGCTTTCCTATAAAAGTACTTACCTGCTATTAAGGATTTTTAAAGTAGAATCAAGAGCTATCCATACATGTTCAAATGAGGAAAACAATGTAAGTACATAATGCATTTATGTACTGGTTCTTCTAAGGCTGTATAATAAGATCCATTTAATTCTTTGGTGTTAAACTGACAAGCCTAAGGAGACCATGTGATCTGCTCTGGGTCAGTGAGTCAATTGTTTTTCTATTAGACGTGGCCGCAGTGAGTGTGAATCTTTCATTCTAACCACGAGACCACTATCTTAGTTTCCAGACGAGAAGGAAGTCTTTATCTTAGCCTGCAGACTATCAGTCACCTATGACTCAAAACAAAAGCTGTGGTGACAGTGACACAACTTTTATTTTAATCAGTTTAGCTTAAATGAAAAGTAGGTAAAAAAACAAACAAACACAAACTTAGAACTTAAATAGTAGCTTAGAACCAAAAAGTTGGAAGAGATTTTATACTTAATATCTACAATTTAGAAAAGACAAAATTGAGCCCCAAACAGACATTAGGCCTCACAATTCGCAGTAAATAATTTATATATTCACTTGTTACTGACATGTAGAATGGGGTTTTTTTCCCATTCCGGGCAAACAACATAAAAAAGACTTATAGAAAAACTAGCAAAATCATGAAACTTCCTATAAACATTATGATATTCTAAAATATATTATTTAGAACATGTGATATGTTATATATGAATCATTTACTTGTCATCATCAAAATTAGGCAATTTTGAAATACCCCTGCATAAAAATCAAACTACATTTTAATGCAATCAAAAAGCAGGAAAAGAAATATTTAACACACACAAAAAAAATTCCTTTAGAAAGAGAACAAGAGTTTGATTAAAACTGGTGACCTCAATATTTGTATTTTCTAAGCTAGTTTTCCTTCTAAAGGCTGTGAAGCGCTTGGGGCAGGGATTTATACAGCTGCACCCTCAGCACCCAGCACAGCAGAAGGCACAGTAGATTGACTAGGAACTCAATAAATGGTTGAGTAAGAAAAAAGGCAACCCATTTTGAGCTTTCCTTAGAAAACTCAGTAATACTAAAATGAAAATTGGAGAAGCAGGGAAATTCTATTTCATTAAGAATTCATTAATGCAATGGTTCTCAAAGGGTGGTCATCAGACCAGCAGCACGGTATCATCAGTGAACACATTAGAAATGAAAATTCCCTGAGCCCCTCTGAGACCTATGGACCCAGACACTTCTGGGCCGGGGAGAAAGCCTGTTTCTCAAGCCTTCCATGAGATTCTGGTGCATAATAAAGTTTGAGAACTGCTACATTAAGGAAATGGTTCTAAAACTTTTTAGTCTCAGACCCTTCATACTCGTAAAAATTATTAAGGCCCCCCAAAAAGCTTTTGCTTATAGGTTATAACTATGCACACCTAACATACTTTAAGGTAAGTTTTATAATATTAACTCATTTTAAAACAAAATAAACCACTTCACATGTTAACTATTCATATTAATTTTTTTAATGAAAATAACTATTTCCCAAAACAACAAAAAAATTTAGTGAGAAGAGAGGCACTGTTTTGCCTCCAATCTCCTGTATTCAGTCTGCCCCCCTTACGTGGTTTTGGTTGAAGTGTATGAAAAAAGCTCAGGCTCAAACAGATATGAAGTTGAAAAGAGGAGTATTTTAGTACCCTTTTCAGATAATAGTGGATATTCTTCTGTGCTGCTACACCAAAAAAAGTGGTAGTTTCTTAAAAATTAGTTGCAATGTGGAATCTGAAACATAGTAACTTTTTGTGCTTTTATATTCAAATCCATTGGCCTTTCTTTCTCTTTGTATAATGGCTCTTTCACCCATGCAAGAGTCTGTAACATCAATGTATTAGTTATCTGTAGGATAACGGCATACTGAGTTTTGTAGATCTGCTGAGTGGTGACACACTGCCTTAATTTTCTTATATAACATCAAGAAAGGTGATTGCTGTGGATAATCACAAATCTAATCAGAGAAGCCTACAATATTGTGAAGCCGGCTAAGCTCACAGTGGTGGAAACATGTTTTTTCACTTGAAAGTTCAAGCTTTATCATTGGCAACAAATACTATTACTATTTTTCCTTCAAGAGACAGGATCACTTGTTCATTGTCAAGAAAATCTTTGCCAAATAACCAAGTCTGAGTAATCATTCTTGAATTTGTCCGTTCAAGTTATAACAAATGAGCTAGTTCAGACCGCAACTCAATCACCACGTGGCTTTTCCTCAAGACAATCCCCATGCAGTCAGGTCTTTAGGTCTGCTTCCCCTTTCCTCACACACATTAAAGGCACACTTACTCAAAGGGCCAAGATGCAATCAAACTAATAATTTTTTACTGCTTCATCATGAACATTTTCGAGTAAACTAAGTTTTTCTTGCCCCTGCAAATATGTGGTGGTGGAGAATACAATGACTCATGCTAAGGTGTGGCAATGTTACCCACACTGCTTTTATACCATCAATGCTAATGTCAACATAGTAAAAAAGCAAATAGCACCTTCGTATGATTATAAAAATAGTTTTGATTTCACACGGACACCCAGGATCTTTGAAAATTGCTGTTTTAAGTGATCCTAAGAGAAAGATCTAGAGTTTCCTTACTCCACTAGTTACTTGGCTATAAGTTACCTCCCCTACTAGACTACAAAATTCTTTACAGCAAATAGTTATATCTCAGGATCTAAAACAGAGTAAGACTCAAAGATTCCATCTTCATTAAAGGAGCAAATTCAGGGTGTCATTCATTTAAGGACCACAGCAAAGAGTAAAGCTTTAGGTCAACTCAAGAAATCCCACAAGCCCTCTTCATTGAGATGGTGCAGACTATAATAGTGCATACATCTAGCCCGGCCAGTGTGACTACATGGTTGAACATCAGCCCATGCACCAAGAGGTCACTGGTTCGATTCCTGGTCAGAGTACATGCCCACAGTGCAGGCTCAATCCCCAGGAGGGGGAGTGCAGAAGGCAGCTGATCAATGTTTCTCTCTCATCGATGTTTCTATCTCTCTTCCTCTCCCTTCTTCTCTCTCTAATAATCAACAAAAATGTATTTTTTTAAAAATTGTGTATACTCCTAGCCCTAGCCGATCTGGCTCAGTGGATAGAGCGTCGGCCTGTGAACTCAAGAGTCCCAGGTTCGATTCCGGTCAAGGGCATGTACCTTGGTTGCGGGCACATTCCCAGTGGGGAGTGTGCAGGAGGCAGCTGATCGATGTTTCTCTCTCATCGATGTTTCTAACTCTCTATTCCTCTCCCTTCCTCTCTGTAAAAAAAAAATCCATAAAATATATATTTTTAAAAAAATAGTGCATACACCTAATTAGCAGTTATTTTTAAAACTACTTACTTAATAGAAATCACTAGGTACTCATAACAAGAGAGCAGAGGGACAGGAAGTGCTTCTAAGCTGGGGACAAGGGATCCAGAGGAATCAGTGATGCAGTCTAGAGGCTCTTAGAAAACTGTCCAAGTGTGCCAATGAACACCAATTATTACTTGTAGTTTCATTAGATTTTCTGGTTCAGTGAGAGTAGCGGGAAGGATTTATCGGTTCTATCCTCAGGGGAGAATGACAGTCAGGATCTCTGGTTATGGCCTCTGACATTTAGACCAAGGTCTTTTGGGAAGTTAAGTACCTCAGTAGCTACCTCCCATTTGTTTTGGCCGCCTCCTGCTCCTTCCCCTGTATTGATTTGCTGTGTGTCATTACAATGAAAAAGAGAGTCAATAGATACCGTACAAAGTGAATCAATCAAAAAGGGAAGGACTTCAATTTTTAAAGATGGAATGATCACCAGAAGAATCCAAAACAAAAATTCATTAACAGTGATTCCTGAGAGTGGGAAAATCCAGAATGGAACAGAGAGAGGCTTTACTTTTTATTTTTCGGTATTGCTGAACTGTTTTCACCAGAGACATCTATTGCTTTTATGATATAAAACAATATAAATAATAGCTTTATAAACAAACACCGAAAAGAGCCTGTGCAATTCATTTTAGCTGCAAGAAGGGAAGGGAGACATTGGTAAAGACTGCTCCCAATGTCTTGTGAGAGAGGAAAACTCCCCAAGAAAAGGAAAGGTTGAAGGCAGCATTCAAGAATGGCTGCACCAAGAAGCCTGTCCTTAAGGAGCCAAAGATCCAATCTGTGAGGCTGCTTGCTCCTTCGCATAGCAAGACAGCAAGATGTGGTGGCCACAGGGGCAGGTGAGGTCCAGTCCTGGTGGCTACCATGGGAATGGCCCTGGTTAACAGAGTGACATCAACCAAAGAATACTGGTCAGGGCTCAGAACAGCTGCAGAGTAGCCACTCAGGGGGATGAAGTTACCTTTACCTCATGGAACTGGGGCAGCATAAAATGAGATCATGTAACAAAGTACTCAATAAACTGCAAGGCAGCATTACTCTTTGGGATCAGATTTTCCATCTAAAAAATGTGAGGATGGACTACAAGGTCCCTTCAGATGGGAGTAGTCTTGAATAAGTTAAACCATATCTACAACTTGGAAAGATCCCTTACTTGCTATATTTAAACACGGGTGATTTCATGACTTATCATTTAAGTCAAAATAAACTCTCCAAAATTTATCTTTTCTCACCGATTCTGAAAGGACTTTCCAGCAACATTGTCTCTGTAGGAATCAAACAAAACGTGGTATTGATCCCGGCTCCATTCCAGAACCACCTAGGGAAAAGAAGACGAAGAAAAAAACAACAATTTTTTTTTCTGTGTGTGTGGTTTTTTTTTAATCTTCACCAAAGAAAATATGTTATTGATTATTTAGAGAGAGGAGGAGGGAGGGAGGGAGGGAGGGGATAAAAAGGGGAAAGAGAGAAAAAGAGAAACATCAATTGGGGTTGCCTCCCATATGCGCCCCAACTGGGAATCTAACCCACAACCTTTCGGTGTATGGGACAACGCTCCAACTGAGCCACACTGGCCAGGGCAAGAAACAATGTTTTATTTGCATCAAATAGTAAGAGTTTACAACTTTCATTTCATTAAGAATTGCTAAAAGAACAGGTAAAGCAATGAAAATCCATCTATTACTCAGTGCCTGCCATATGCCAGACACTGTGCTCAACCCAGATGAATAAATTACAAGATAAGAATAGTCTCATACATATGAAATCAAAGAGATTTAAAAGGCTGTGATATGAGAACTGGGTCTTGGGAGAATGAGGTCACCAGGCAGGGAGAAAGGACAGTGCCAGGAGAGCATGCTCAAAGGCTGAAAGCAGCACGGGCAGTTGTTCGAGGACAATTCTACAGTTGGTTTTGGCTGGAGCACAAGCAGGTAGGAACTGGAGAGAAATGCAGCTGGGAAAGGAAGCTGGGCCTGGACTGTGATGTGCCTTGTGTGCCAGGGGAAGTAGAGGTACTGGAGGATTTTAAGGTGGCTACATGACCCATTCAAAACTTGGAAAAGGCCCGGCTGCGGTAGCTCAGTAGTTGAGCGTTGACCTATGAACCAGGAGGTCACAGTTCGATTCCCAGTCAGGGCACATGACCAGGTTTCAGGCTCAATCCCCAGAAGGGGATGTGCAGGAGGCAGCCAATCAATGATTCTCTCTCATCGTTGATGTTTCTAATTCTTCCTCTCTGAAATCAATAAAAATATATATTAAAAAAAAATTCTTACTTACCATTTTGAACTATTCTACCCACCCCCTCCTCATATGAACGTGCATACACACACACACACACACACACACACACACACACACACCCCTCCTCTCTACACTCTACTACTAAGGATAGTTTGTTGGTAAAATTTTTAAAAAAATGAACTATAATACTATTTATTAAAATACTACATGAGCTCTGAAATACATCATAAACAATGTTACTAAGAATTATTGCCCAGCCAGTGTGGTCCAGTGGTTGAATGAGATGCAAAGCCCATAATTCTTTGCCTCAGAGGAATTCCCCAGCTAGGAAAAGGAGGAAGGTAATTATTAAGAAGAGAACGGGTATACTAGTATAGTGCAAAGTCCCTAAGATTTACGATCAGAAGACATGAGTTTAAATCTGGGACTTGATAAAATCTAGAGCACTTCTCAATTCTCAGTTTCTTCTTCTGTAGAATGAGGATATTAATGCCACCTGATTTCACAAGACTGTTTTGATGAGTAAATGAGATATGCCAGTCATACAGGGCTGCACAATACTTACATGCAAATTGTTCACATGTCTCTTAAAGACAGCATTTACAGTGCTGCAGTATAACTTACCGGTTTAAATACGTGTCTACACCTCTGTGAGCAATCAAAGCCAGGAAGCTGACCTCTTTTTATTTTTATTCCCAGATCCTTGGACAATGCCTGACATAAAATCAATCAACATTCTTTTTTTTTTTTTTTAATCCTCACTGGAGGATATTTTTTCCACTGATTTTTAAAGAGAGTGGAAGGAAGGGAGGGAGGAGAAGGGAGAAGGAGAGGGAGAGGGGTAGAGAGAGAGAGAAACATCGATGTGAAAGACACCAATTGGTTGCCTCCAAAATATGCCCTGGCCAGGGCTGGGACTGGAACCTGCAATCCAGGTATGTGCCTTTGACCAGGAATCGAAACCAAGACCCTTCGCTGCTCCTGCAAACACTGGCCAAGGCATAAACATTCTAGAGTGAATGAATATGGCTACTAGCTTTACAAGCAAACAACTTGGAACAGCTTACCACTCCATAGTTTCCCTCCAGAACTTTCTGCTTTCAGATCCATTCCCAGTCAGGTAAAAACTAAAGGGCTAGCCCGGCCGGTGTGGCTCAGTGGTTGAGCGTCGACCTATGGACCAGGAGGTCACAGTTTGATTCCCGGTCATGGCACATGCATGGCACATGCCTGGGTTGTGGGCTCGATCCCCAGTAAAGGAGGGGGGGTGCATACAGGAGGCAGCTGATCAATGATTCTCATCACTGATGTTTCTCTCTCTCTCCCTCTCCCTTCCTCTCTGAAATCAATAAAAATATATTTAAAACATGAAAATAAAATAAAAAGACTAAAGGGCTAGAGTTATGAAGACACAACAGCAGACCTACTAGGCACACAAGGATATAGAACTCTGTAAAAGCACATGTCGCTTTCTCAATTTTTCAAAGGAATGTGACATGTTATCCTGTAAAACTTAAGGTGTTGGAGCTCTAACCTCAAGTAGTAAGAACTCTAAGTAACACTGACAGAGTTTTTCACACATTGACAATCAGAAGTCTACATTATTCTTAGATTAAAAAGCTTCTGCATAGTTTCTAAAACAAAATTTAGTTTGCAAAAAAAAAAATTTAGTATGCATTGAATTTTAGTTTGAAGCGTACTAAGGGAGACCAAGATCCCTATCTTAAAGATATTCTAAGCTTTATCTTTTTTACCAACCCTCCTCCTCCTCCTTAGATAGCAATTCGAAGTGCTATCTGCTTGCCACCAGAAGAATTCTCTAATCACATCTGATTAAGCACGCTCATTTTGTTTTCCTGTTTTAGCCCGTACCTTATAAACAACAGAAATTTATATCTCACGGTTCTGGAGGCTGGAAATACCACGGCACCGGCATATTTGGTGCGTGGTGAGAGCCAGCGTCCAGATTCATAGCCAACTGTCCTCTCCTGTGTCGCCTCACATGGCGGCAGGGGAACAGGAGCTCTCCGGACCCCTGGGAGTTATGAGCGCACTATTCCACTCATGACCCAATCACCTCCTAAAGGCCTCACCTCCTAATACCATCACATGGGGGATAAATAAAAAGACTTGCCCAAAGTCAAGCAATAAATCAGCAAGAGATAATGCCAGTTTCCAAAAGCAGATACACCTTTCTTTCAGGCCTTTGTATAATTATAAAAATCCATACTGAAAGCCTGATTCTGAAGCATTGCACTCAGTGTGGTATTTTCACCTGGGTTCCTACTGCCCGACGGCCTCCTGCTACCCTTCTCTTCCACTGTGATTCACCTCCCATTATTACCGCTAGAGCAGTGGTTCTCAACCTTCCTAATGCCGCGACCCTTTAATACAGTTCCTCATGTTGTGGTGACCCCCAACCATACAATTATTTTCCTTGCTACTTCATAACTGTAATTTTGCTACTGTAAACAATATGTAATTATATATGTGTTTTCCGATGGTCTTAGGCGACCCCTGTGAAAGGGTCGTTCGATCCCCAAAGGGGTCGCGACCCACAGGTTGAGAACCGCTGCTCAGAGCAGGGGTCGGCAAACTGCAGCCCCTTGAGTGTGGCTGTTCCACAAAATACCACGTGCGGGCGCGCACGTACAGTGTGATTGAAACTTCGTGGCCACACTCAAGGGGCCAAAGAGCCACATGTGGCTCGCGAGCCGCAGTTTGCCGACCACTGCTCTAGAGCAATCGTTCTAATCAGAGACCGAATTCATCATTCTCTTGCTTTAAATAGTTTGCATGATCCCCATTTTCTTCAGGAAGAATTGAAATGTGTTAGCCTCACTCAGTAGGCAAGCCCTAAGTGGCCGCCGCCTGCCTCTGCAACTTCAGGCCTGGGTATGCTGCAGCCCTTCGGAACTGCCTGAGTCCCTACAACAGTGATGGCGAACCTATGACACGCGTGTCAGAGGTGACACGTGAACTCATTTTTTTGGTTGATTTTTCTTTGTTAAATGGCATTTAAATATATAAAATAAATATCAAAAATATAAATCTTTGGCCGAAACCGGTTTGGCTCAGTGGATAGAGCGTCGGCCTGCAGACTGACAGGTCCCAGGTTCGATTCCAGTCAAGGGCATGTACCTGGGTTGCAGGCACATCCCCAGTAGGAGATGTGCAGGAGGCAGCTGATCGATGTTTCTCTCTCATCGATGTTTCTAACTCTCTATCTCTCTCCCTTCCTCTCTGTAAAAAATCAATAAAATATATTTTTAAAAAATATATAAATCTTTGTTTTATATGGTTGCAAATATCAAAAAATTTCTATATGTGACACGGCACCAGAGTTAAGTTAGGGTTTTTCAAAATGCTGACACGCCGAGCTCAAAAGGTTCGCCATCACTGCCCTAGAAGGTGAGAGTGCCTCCCACACCTACACCTTTACACCTTTGGCATCCTTCACTTAAAGGGGAGAAGGGAGACTCTCTCCCCCCCTTTCTCTATCTCTCTGCCCACCATGTGAGGACACAGCAAGGCGGTCATTTGTAAACCAGGAAGAGAGCTCTCACCAGAAACCAACCATGCTGGGCGCACTGATCTTGGACTTCCAATCTCCCGAATCATGAGAAAATAAACGTGCTGTTTAAGCCAAAAAAGGGGGAAGGACACCTCCCCTTTCTTCCCTCAGCCATCTTCTTCAAGATCAAGCTCACATGTCACCCTGTCTGAGAAACTGCCCAACACCCACCCTCTGTCTTCAACTGAATTTATCACAATACATCTTAAGATTGTCTATCTGCCTGTCCATCTCTCTGTCCGGAGAGTGAGTTCCTCAAGAGCAGAAAGAAACCGAACCATCGTTGTGTCTCTAGTCAGCAGTAGAGTATCACCTCCATAAACCTCTGTCAGCCCTGACCGGTTTGGCTCAGTGGATAGAGAGTCGGCCTGGGGACTGAAGGGTCCTGGGTTCGATTCCGGTCAAGGGCACGTACCTTGGTTGCAGGCACATCCCCAGTAGGGGGTGTGCAGGAGGCAGCTGATCGATGTTTCTCTCTCATCGATGTTTCTAACTCTCTA